CCCCCCCCCCCAACTGTCCGACCTCCCTCCACCATGTATCCCGGGCTCCACTGTCCCTCTTCGGTAACTGGGATGCCTCTGGGCAGGTGTCAGCAGAGTGAATAACCAGCTGTCATCTTTCTATTGGAAGTGATTTGGGTTCCTGTATAGCCACCCAATTACCTCCACAGGCCTTCGAACATGCCACCCCCCAAATGTCTGACCCCCTTCCTCCATGCATCCCAGACACAGCTACCCCTGTTGGGTGCCTGTAGAGAGAATGACCAACTGTCCGCTTTCTATCTGAAGTGATTTGGGTGCCTGTATAGCAGTCCGATCACCTCCACCGGTCCCTGAATCTGCCCCCCCCATTCAAGGACCACCATTTATTGTTAAAGAAGAACTCCAGGCAATCGAAGGACCGAGGATCAGGTGAGCATATCTTCTTTTATCCAGTCCCTAGGCCAAAACGAGCAGTTAACCCTTACAGTGCGCTGGTAGCCCAACTGCAAGGGTTACGTTTTCAATTGCCAGGAGCGCTTCTTTAACATTAAACTGATGAGCTGAAAGCTTTTAAAGCTAAACCTATGGGAAACTTTCTGCACTGCAGTATTTCTCCATTTCACAAGTTTTGAGGTTTGACCTCTTTGGTATCTATTTACTTGAAGGAATCCCACCTTTTATATTTTACCAAAAAAAATGGGGAATTTTATTGTTTATGTGCAAAAAATAATTTAAAGTGACTTTTTACTGACAATTTGGGTTTGATAAACAGTTGCCCCAATCTCTTGTGACATTACAAATGATAATGACCTCCAATCTATTCTACAGGGTCTCTGCTTTCAGAAAATGTAAGTTTAGGGGATTTAAGTAATAATCTTCATTCCTAAGATGTGCATTTTAAAACCATTTGCAAAAATGGCTCTGGCAGTAAAAGGGTTAAAGGAGAATAATGAGGAGAGGGATTTTCACTGTATAGACAGAGCCAGCTGTGAATCCCGCAGCTGGGTGGATCTCGACATCAATGTCGGGATCCATTCCGGCTGCGGCATCTCAGTATACCGCGAGCTGTAGCATGCGGTATACTGAGCTATGTGTAACGGGAGAACGCTTGTTTGTGTCCTCCCGTGACCCTTAGGAGAACTATGGGGAAAAGCCCTGACCCCATAATTCTCCTTTAAAAGATGGCGTTTTTTCTTTTTTTTTGGGCACTAGATAATGTGACCTTTTCTCTGATGACACAGGTCATGGACTCCGAATGAAATTGCAGCATTGTGCTACAACCATTACCGGGCCAAGTTACCGAAGCAAGGCCAGCCGGACACGAACAGAGAGTGGACCCTCCTGGCAGCGGTCGTACAAGTGGAGACTGCACAGGGGAAGGACTGCACCAAGAAAGGTGCTTTGTGGGTTTTTTTTTTATGTATGAATGGAGTTAAAGAGAACCTGTTAGGATTTGTTTGTTGTGTGTAGCGTGGGGCAGAGTTTACTCCTGCTTCACATTCTTTCTGTAGGCTATAGCTGTGGTATGATTGACTTTTCAGCTGAGCTGCCGTTGGTACTGAACCTAATGTCTAAGTTTACTCTTTTGACCATATTTCATGTTACAACCATATTTAGGGTGTAGCATGAAGCTTAGTCGCATACAGCATCCCCAAAGCCCTCCTATGATTCCTTATTTTCCACTTTGCTCTCTCTTCTCTGTTCAGACTGCTGTTATCCCAACATGTCCAAACCTTCCCCAACCGTTCCCCCATCTATAAACGTCTCCACCTTCTCTCCCGTGCGCCATTTATTTAATCTGGACCTGATAATGACTTTTGTGTACACATATGGGGGGGATTTATCAAAACAGAATCTGGAGCAGTTGCCCAGGGCAACCAATCAGCTTCTCTCTTCAGTTTAAGTTGGATTTGAAAATGAAAGAGAGAAGCCGATTGGTTGCCATGGGCAACTGCTTGAGATTTTCTGTGCTTGAGTTTTGGTACATCCCCCTTATAGTATCCACGCTGGGTTATCCCAGGGGTGGGCACATTCATATAGAATTCAGGAGCCAGTCTATCCAATCCTGGAGCCAGCAGGAATTGTTTTGTAGGAGCCGGCTCTATAGACAACGACTAGAGAAAACCTCAAGGGTTAGGTGCCAGCTGTCATTTGTAAGGAGCATTGGCTACCTGGCTCCTGGGATTTGTCCGGCTCTGGGTTATCCTAATGTTAGATATAACTCGGACAGAACCCTGACTTCTGACAATGAATTGGCGCCCCATGAGGGGGCATTTTCCTTCTTCCATCTTCGATGACATCATGCACATGTACGATAGCGCAGCCATGCTCAGCTCTGGCGAGGTTTGTGCGGGGACGATGTAGAAGCAGATTCTCCACCTGCTTCCACTGGTCACAGCTCATCCTGAACAAGAGAATTGGAAGATGGTTAGAAGACCACCAGAAACATTGCACTAGATGACTTTGGACGCAGAGAAGCTCTGTAATGTGTGTGCGTTATTGTTTTTGGATCATGGTAGGAGTGACCCGGGTCTAGAGGTCCATCTAGAGCAGCATTTCTCAACCTTTTTTCAGCCATGGCACCCTTTAAAAGTAAACATAATCTTGAGGTGCTCCAGTCTAAAATGGAAACCTGTAAATGTAAAAAATGATGTGGTGTCCCTCCAAAATCCATACCAAACCCTTATCCCAGATAGGGGTCTAGTATGAATTTTAAGGGGGGACCCCATAGAAGAGCACAATCAGAGTGCCACCTTTCACATAAGAGTCCCATTTACAGCAGGAGCCTCTTACTTTTACATCAGAGTCCCCCCTCTCACACTAGGAGATCTTCTTTATATCAGAAGCCGCCCTTCACATTAGAGTTCCCCTCTTACATATCAGAGTCCCCTTTACAGCGGGAGCTTCCTACTTTTACATGAGAGTCCCCCTCTCGCACTAGGAGACCTTCTACATATCCGAAGCCCCCCTTCACATCAGAGTTCCCATCTTACACATCAGAGTCCCCTTTACAGCGGGAGCTTCCTACTTTTACATGAGAGTCCCCCTCTCGCACTAGGAGACCTTCTACATATCCGAAGCCCCCCTTCTCATCAGAGTTCCCCTCTTACACATCAGAGTCCCCTTTACAGCGGGAGCTTCCTACTTTCACATGAAGTCCCCCTCTCGCACTAGGAGACCTTCTACATATCCGAAGTTCCCCTCTTACACATCAGAATCCCCTTTACAGGAGAGGCCTCCTACTTTTAGAACAGATAGAAGACCTTCATATCAGAAGCCCCCTCTTTCACATCAGAGTTCCCCTCTTACACATCAGAATCCCCTTTACAGCAGGAGCTTCCTACTTTTACATGAGAGTCCCCCTCTCGCACTAGGAGACCTTCTACATATCCGAAGCCCCCCTTCTCATCAGAGTTCCCCTCTTACACATCAGAATCCCCTTTACAGGAGAGGCCTCCTACTTTTAGAACAGATAGGAGACCTTCTTCACATCAGAGTTCCCCTCTTTCACATCAGAGTCCCCTTTACTACAGGAGCTTCCTACTTTTACATCAGAGTCCCTCCTCTCACAATAGGGGATCTTCTGTATATCAGAAGTTCCCCTTTACATCAGAGTTCCCCTCTTTCACATCAGAGTCCCTCCTCTCACAAATTGGGGATCTTCTGTATATCAGAAGTTCCCCTTTACATCAGAGTTTCCCTCTTTTACACCAGAGTTCTCTTCTTTCAAATCAGAGGCATGAAAATGTAACTGTTAGAAAATTTCAAGGCACCCAGATGAAGCCAGAAGGCACCCTGGTTGACAAAGGCTGATGAATGGGTGCTGCATGGCCTTGAAACGCTGCAATGTGGTCTCTTCAATAAATGTTTGAACAATACCTAGGGATCCATTGTATGCTGCTGACACATATTCTTGTTCTTCTATGTCCACAGCAGGTAACATTAGTCATACCTGGATAAAGAACTTAATGGACCATCCAATCTGGTCGCTTTACTAACCTCTACTGCTTTTGGTTCAGTTGTCCTTGCTCCAGTTTTTATACATTACTCTCACTGTTCAGCAGGTGGTGCAGTGCCCCATGTTAGACAAACTCCAATGCTTTACCTTTATCTCACGTCCTCTAAATATAAAACTTTGTTTTTTCATTGACAGTCGTTGCTTTGGGAACCGGGACAAAATGCATCGGCCAGTCGAGACTGAGCAAAACGGGTAAGCATGACGAACAACACATGGATGTGGTAGGTGTGATTTGGCTGTGCGTGTCCAATAAAGCGACCTGTCATTAAAGTGACACTGAACTCAGGGGTTGAATCTTAAAAATGTTCAACCTCAAATACTATGTAACTATGTAACTATGTAACATGAGATTGTAGTCCATTCCGGGAGCGAGCTTGGAGCGGTGACTACTTTACAACATTATCAAATGTAATAAAACTGTTCTGGGCCAATTATATATTTGCGGAGCTCTAATTCTTCACACTTGCTTCGGGGGCCCATGGGATACCCTTGGGACCTGGGGATCACACCAGATCTTGTGTATCTTTGAGTCCAGCTCTCCACCAATAAGCTTCTAATAAAGTGAAAGGGAGATGCTCATTGGTTGAAATGGGCAACACAAGGAGTCCTTTCTTCCCAGCATGCCTAACTTAATGCCGGGCAGCTTAAATGAGAACTATGGGATAAGTGTTTTTCCCCATAGTTCTCTTAAAAGTCACGGGAGGACATATACTAATGTCCTTCCGTGACTCAAAGCTCAGTATATCGCGGGCTATCGCCCGTAATATACCGAGCACCGCAGCCAGGACGGATCCTGACAATACTGTCGAGATCCACCCAGCTGGGTGAGTGACAGCTGGCTCTGCCTATCTAGAGGCGGAGCCAGCTGTCCACCGTTTGTTCCTCCACTCAGCGCTGGAGGATTGGAGAGGGGAGCAGTGACTGATGGTCACCACTCTCTGCAAGGAGATGATCGGGAAGTGAGCTGATCGGCTGCATGTTTCTGCTCACTTCCCGATCAATAGAGCCGACCTGTGACAGCTTCTTTGTCACAGGTCGGCTCTAACTATAAGGATGAGTGGAAATCACTCACCTCATAGTTCATGTGTCAGAGTGATCAGTATATATTGAGATATAGGCGTAGCCAAGTTTGATATCGCTCTATGTAGCTTCTCCAATCCATTTCAATGGAGCTGTTCACATCTCGTCGCTCAATATCGCTTGTAGCTCGTCGCTGTAGCTTGTCGCTCCTACATGGCCCTTTTTTCGAGCGATTTTCCTCCTAAATGCATACAGCCCAATAGGAAAAAGTCGCGCGACGAGTCGCTCAATATCGCTCATATAAAATCGCGCGGAAAATTGCGCGATTTTCATGTCGCTCAGTGTGAATGGGGCCTAAGCTGTGTGTTTCCATTTGCACTCGGATGTCCTCTGGTGATCGTTTTTTCTTTTTCATCTTTTTCAGGTGATATTCTCCAGGACAGCCACGCAGAGATAATTGCAAAGCGGAGTTTTCAGAGGTAGACGTGCCATTCCGTCCAGCCCTGTAATTTGCCGCTCAGCGGTCGGAACGAGGCGTCTGGCATTACATCCAGTAAAGTAGCTGCATTATGGGAAATGGCTATTGATCATCGGAGCCAGATGTACTTTTCCGGCATTCCGTGGCTCGCTCTAGAGCTGCGATTGCTATAGAAGAAATAATGAGACACGGGCAAAAGTTTGCTCATCTTTAAAGCTGAACTCCCGGCAGACCTGACATTTTAATGCAGCTCTGTATTCATTAATATATCATTAGATGTATTGTTTTAAATAGGGATGCACCGATAATGGTACATCAGTATCAAGTAGGAGTACCTGATGTCCCGTTCAGGAAGCCAGGCGGCGTGTAATGACTCGCCACCTGGCTTCCTGATTAGCAGGGAAGCCGTCCTCATGCTTCTCGTCACTAGGTGACGAGAAGTATGGAGCCGGCTTTCTGGCCAATCATTACACGGCACCCGGCTTCCTGATTTGCCAGGAAGCCAGCTCCATGCTCCCTCGTCATGAGGTGACGAGAGAGCATGAAGCCGTCTTCCCGGCCAACCAGAAAGCCCGGGCGACGTGTCGTTACACGGCGTCCGGGTTCCTGATTGGCCAGCTTCCCGACCAATCAGGAAACTGGGCAGCACGTCATTACACGCTGCCCGGCTTCCTGATTGGCCAGGAAGCTGGCTCCATGCTCTCTCGTCACAAGTGACGAGGGAGCATGAAGCCGGCTTCACGTCCAGTCAGGGAGCCGGGCAGCGTGTAATGGCGCGCTTTCAGGATACCGGAAGTATAGGGCTAGGCATCAGAGCATTTGGGTGAGTACCAGTACTCGACAAATACTCAGCACCGATACCGATACTAGTATCGGTGCATCCCTAATATTTAAATGCAAACAGTGTAAATTCTTTATGCTGACCTGCTATCAGTCTTTTGCAAAACTCTGTACAGCAGATCTCAGATTGGGAGAGACAGAACATGCTGATAGGAGGAGAGAGAAGAGTGACCAAGAGTTTTCAATCAATTTGCTACTTCTCCATTCACTATCCAGACACAGGGTGGGGGAGGTACAAGACCTGTAAGTGTTATTTATCTGCAACCGAAAAAAATCAGCCCCCCCTTGGCAGATAGGGCTGAGCTGTGCAAGTACCTTCCATAGCCCAATAACACCGCTCAATCACAGCAGCACTAGAGAGAATGACAGGTGCACACCGGCCCAGCCTGACTTGCTCCAGCATCAGCAGTGTTGACTGCTATAGCTGTGTAAGTCTTAGTACTGAATGGACACAAATCCAATTTCTTTAGCAGGTAAAACAGATCCCTTATATGCATTTTTGATCTCCGTATTTCTTATATTGAATAATATATACGCACTATTTTCTATGGAGGTTAGCTATAAAGCAAACATGTGCTTGCAGGTTCAGTTTAACGCTTCCCTTTGATGTCTTTCTATTGAGAGCAAAGAAAAAAAAACACAGTAATTGTGTGTGTGCGAAGCTTGTAGCTCGCTCATGTGACAGCACCGGTGCCTGCCAATTGGCTGCTGAGCCGCCCAGGCCGGTGCAGATTGGAAAACTTATATGAGATTGTACTGATTACATTAAGAGTCAAGTTGATCATTTTTCAACTACCACCATTTTATTCTATAGGGTCTTGGCATTCAGAAAATATATAATGTTGGGGGGTTTTACGTCATTTTCAGGCCTAAAATGTGGAATATAACATGGGTGCAAAAATGGAAAAAAGGGCCTCAGTCATGAAGGGGTTAATTTGACCGTTAGGTATTTTAATGGCGGTAATACCCTTCTGTCACCAGCAGGTGGCACTATTATAACAGAGATGATACAACTGTATGGACCAGAGTTGGAAAGTGTGTGGTGAGCAGACTGATATATATATATATTTTAGTATGTATATAAGTATACTTTTCATTAGGGATAAACCGATAGCAGTATCGGTGCCCATAACTAGTATTTGGGCAAGTACTCGTCCAAATTCTCCTGATGCTTATTCCGATACCGGAACTTCCAGTATCAGGAAGCTAGGCAGCAAGTAATTGCACGACACCCGGCTTCCTGATTGGCCAGATAGCGGGCTCCATGCTTCCTCGTCAACAAATGACGAGCGAGCATGGAGCCAGCTTCCCAGCTAATCAGGAAGCCGGGCGGTGAGTATTTACACGCCAGCCAGCTTCCTTAATGGGACTTCCGGTATCAGTTTTCAGTATCGGCGAGTACCGGAAAAAAGATATCGGTACTCGATACCAAAAAAACGGTATCGGTGCATCCCTACTTTTTATTCAGCAAAACCTAATTAGGTACCAATTGGGTTTTTGATTCCTTCATTCCTCCCCACCTCCACCACACACCAGAACCTGACTGGTTATCCTGTCTCATTTCTCCCCAAGGCCATAGAAACCCTGGAGTCTATATCGCGCTGATGTGAGCTAACAAGCCTAAAACATATGCATGCTGTTTGTGTACCATTCATTGTGAATAGCACCCACTGCACTATAGAGTAGCAGCCAATGCAAGCCAGCGCATTGAAACATAAGAGCAATGCGTTGTCGTGCACTACGGTGGAAATAAAAGGATTGTGTGTGTTTCTGGTCTGTATGCCGTGCGTTGGCAGCTCATTCATAATTAATGAGCTGCTTTAATGCAACAATCAATAACGTGCAACTTAACGCAGCGCAGCGGGTCACATAAGTTTGAATGGGCCCAAAAAACCTTATGCTCATTTTCCATCAGATTTCAAACGTAAGCTCCTTGGAGTACGGTTTAATTATTACATAGTGCTCTGATGTTGGAACTGAAGTACTGTATACATATGATCTGTTTTACCTGCCGAAGGATTTATATTCTGGTCAGCCACTCTTGCTATTTAGGCATCTCAGCCAGATCTTTAACATGCACTGATGCAGCAGCACAGCTTGGTCAAAAGCAAACCTCCAGCCTGCTGATTGGACTATAAAGCAGCAACATCACACTATTAAGTCATCACTGCGCCGTCACCTCTTGTCAGCATGTTTACTGTCAGTACATTTGCATGCAGCTGAGTCTTATTGGCTGAGATCCCTAACCCTGCCTTTCCTAGTGTGCCGCAGGATGCAGAATTACAAGAGGCCGGCGCTGAGATCAAATCAGGTACTTACACTAGTTAGTACATTTATGGAATTATTAGTCACGTGTGTTTTTAGCTTTGCCCAGAGTTCAGCTTCAAAGAGGTTTTGTGTTTTTGGACAAAATGTGGGAAACCTCCTTTTATTCCTCCTAATGCCAACTGGCTGTTGGCAGCACTGCCAGGCAGCTCGGAGGATGCCACCGCTTCTTATACTTAGAAACCCCGCGCTTTCCAGAGACATTCTGAGACTCTGCTGTACCTTTGCTGGAAAGCAGGGAGGGGGGGCATGTAAAGGGGTAGACATCTTTAAGGCCTCATTCACACGAGAATCGGCCGGCACGTACAGCTCTATGCTGCGTACACAGCCGTATCGGGCAGCTCCCGGGAAGGACAGGTGCTGCGTGTGATTAGTACCCCCCTGTGCTTCTCTATGGGGTGCGTACTCCAATAGAGAAGAACAGGGGCTGCGTACTAATCACACGCAGCATCTGTCTTTCCCGGGAGTTGCCCTATATAGCCGTGCACGCAGCTGTACGTGCCGGCCGTTTCTCGTGTGAATGAGGCCTAAACTGAGCTCAATTCAAACATCTGATCTTCTGCAGAGCGGGGCATGTAAAGGGCTTTGTCTTAATCCAGCCAGCAGATGGAACTTTTTCCCGCTAAATCTGCCAAAATTGGATCCATGGGTGGCCCTGCCGACACCGCCAGGCTCGACAAAAGTCCATTTGGCAATCAACTTTTGTCAAAGGAGCTGGGTGGACAATTGCTGGCCGGACAGTGACTGCAGCCAATCAGCTCTAGTCACTGTTCCAGTGTCCTGACAGCCATGGGCACCAGCTCCTTAGCATGAATGGGGGAATCAAGTGTTTTTCCCCATTCAGCCCCTGGGGCTGAACAAGAAAAATCTTCCAAAGGCAGCTTTAGACTGAAAAAAAAATCACTATAAGAAAGCCTGTATGGAAAATTAGATTTATAGTATTTTCACAGTGATGCACTGGATGGCACAGCACAACACTGTGACAGCACCGGGGCCCACAATGGGCCACTTAGACCCCAAGTGCTGCATTGCATGGAGGCAGATGATGTGACGCATGATCCTTGATACCAATCATTTAGGATTTTTACACAGCGGTGGCAGGAGAGCAGATAAGTGTAAGCACCAGAGGGTACCCGGGACAGGGATGGGAAGGTTTTGCTGGCAGGGTCGCTTTAAGTGATCATTCACTTGCACCTTTAGGGCCCACTCACACCATGGCGTTGCGTTAATCTCATGACACGGTGGGTTTAACTTACCCTTCGCACAGTCCAACCAGCATGCATTACCATGCACTGGGTGCATTGCGTTGCCATTTGAATGGCACCCCAATGCACCTTCTGGTGGACAAGCAAATTCTCGGGCAGCGCAGTGCAATGCTTGGTATTGAAATATTGTGCGTTGTGGTGAAAAAAAGTTATACATACACTACTTTTTTGAAGGCATGGTATTGTGGTACCTTGCGCTGCATTACGCGGCAGCCGGGAGGTGCGTTGTGCCATTTAGATGAATGAACATAGAGCTACCCCCATTCACATGAATGGTAACACAATGCACCCAGTGCATGATAACACATGCCAGGTGCGCTTTGCGATAGCACGTGTTAATCACGCGGTATTGTGCGATAATACAGCGATATGGTATCAGCGGACCCCGAGAAATGAATTCTGATGCCAAAACTATGTTTGCGACGGTGGCCCAGGAAACTTTCTGGTGTGCTGGTGACATCTCTGCGCGTCGGCTTTGAAGGGACAATTCACACGCCGCTGTCAAGGAATTTCAAGCTGAGGAGGGGACGGGGGAGACACATCTTGTGTTTGTTAGTTGTGATTGCTGAGTGTCATTGTCACATTCTTGGGAGGCTGACGATAGTAAAGGAGCTACACCCAGAGCATTCCTCGGGAAAAACCCAAAAAAACAAAACGGAGCCTGCCTCTAGGACATCGCTGACATGACTTTGACAAATTGAAAGATCATCCCCTTTAAAAAAAACAAATGAGTGTCAGGCAGCTCAGTGAAGTGACCAGCTCTCTCCTTACATGTCATAGCCCTCTCCTCTTCTGGTAGTGTGTAATTACTCTCTGTGCTGGCCAAGCTCCTCCGTCCCTCACCTCCCTACATAACCTTTTAGGCAGAAGCCAAGGGAGGAGTGAAGGGAAATACTGAAATAGAGTGTCACTTGAGTGACTACTTTCAATCTGTTGGGGCTGCTGACATCCGAGATGGCGGAGCCCAGCAGAAGTCTCAGTTTGGATATCTATAAAATAAATAACACGCATGCAATAAGGTAGTTGCACATATAATCTTATGGGAAGAATTAAAAAAACTAAGGATGCGCCGATACTAGCATCGGTGCCGATATCGGGTATTTGGGAGAGTACTCGTACTCGCCGAAATGCTCCGATGCCTGGCCCAATACTTCCGGTATCAGGAAGCCGGGCAGTGAGTCTTTACACGCTGCCCGGCTTCCTTATTGTGAAGAGGGAGCATGGAGCCATAGTATCAATATCTGTGTCGAGTACTCACCCAAAGGCTCCGATGCCTAGCCCTATACTCGAGCTTCCGGTATTAGGAAGCCGGGCAGCGAGTCACTACATTGCCCGGCTTCCTGAGTGGCCCATGCTCGGGGAGCTGGCTTCCCGTCCCATCAGGAAGCCGGGCAGCATGTCATGAGTCACTGCCCAGCCCACTCGCTGCCCGGCATCCTGATTGGTCGGGAAGCTGGCCAATCAGGAAGCCGGGCGCTGTGTAATGACAAGGCGCTTGGCTCTCTGATTGGCCGGGAAGCTGGCTTCATGCTCCCTCCTCACAAGTGACGAGGAAGCAGGGAGCCGGCTTCCTGGCCAATCAGGAAGCCAGCTCCGGGCTTTCTCGTCACCTAGTGACGAGAAGCATGCGGACGGCTTCCCTGCTAATTGGTAAGCCGGGTGGCGAGTCTTTACATGCTGCCCTGCTTCCCGGGTAATCAGGAAGCCAGGTGGCTAATCATTACACGCCGCCTGGCTTCCTTAATGGGACTTTCGGTATTCGTTATTGGTGAGTACCGGAAAAAAATATCGCTACTCGATACTGAAAAACCAGTATCAGTGCATCCCTATAAAAAATGTAACCTTGCAGTGGGGTTCAGTGCTTGTTTTGTCCAGGGAGCTCAAATAAAGAACATATACCCACCAGATCCTGGCTCTTGTGGTGGTCAGCAGTCACCTTGCTCCCCTCCGCTCAGGCTGTGGTATGTTCCTGCGTGCCCTCACATCTAATACAAGTCAATGGACCTGCCTAAGATGTGATGACATCATCATTCCTTACACTACTCCCCCATGGGGGGAAGAGGCTGCGGGGACCGCTCTGGAAGCCCAGCGGGACCGAGTTGAGTATATCTGCTTAATTGTAGCCCCACTGCAAGGGTAAGTATTTTGATTTCTGGAGTTCTTTAAAATAAATAGTCTGGCGACAGAGTATTTTTAAGGTACGTAATGCTTTGATTCCGCTCAAAGGAACATTAGACACTTTATCGGTGGGGTGGGGTGGGAAAGGGGCAATTTTTATTAGCAGTTGAATGCCCGGAGTTAGGCTTTAAGTTTCTGTACTTGGAGTTCAGCTTTAAATGCCGACTATCCTGGTTGTACTTTAATGGAAACATTTTATTTTTACGAATGTTAATAACATCTATAAAATTTCTCTGTCACGTTTTACTGGTCTCCGTACGCGGCTCTCATGAGCATTTGTCAAAGTCGGACATCAGTAAGTCACATGATCACCCAGAACGCTCGGCCGCTCTCACGCCCTGCGGACACGATTCTTGGCTGTGAAAAGTCTGCAGTTGGCAGCTAATAAGATTGTATTATATGCCAAGAGAACGTATTAACCCGGATTATCCTCCTCTCTTGGGCCAGGTACCTCCTCCATCAGCTTTCCCTGGCGCTGACGAAGACCCAAGACAGTGTCTTCGTTCCTGGAAACGAGAGCCGAAAGTGGACCGTAAGAGCGGGGGTCTGCTTCGTGTTTTTCACCAGCCACACACCTTGTACGTGTCTCACGGGAGGTCACACAGTATGGCAGCCTTTCAAAAAACCCCTTTTTATATTTGAAGGGAATGCATACTTCTTATTTATTATATGGAGTGCTAAAAAGAAGTATTTATAATCAGCTAAATGCAAAATATTCCCTATGATTATTTCATATTTACCCCTTGCAGTCAACAGATGGAGGGCTCTGTCCAGCAGCAGGAAGTCTCTGCAGGCTTTTCCTTCATCTGTTGTGCTAGACATAAGTGAATGACTCGGAGGAGGACACCTTCTCCCTCTCTTCTAGCAAAAATGGAAGCTTGTTTTAAAAACAATTAATTGATAACCATGTTATTAACATTTTATAAACCCAGTCACTAAGATTCTATATAGGTTGCAACATGTTAATTTAATTTCAAAAGTACATTTTTATCATTTTAGGGCCTCGTTCACATGTCCTATAAGGGCCGGACAACAGATTACTGCAACAGGAATCAGCAGATTCTTTCGGCTGGAATCAAAGGTGTCCAGGGCCGGTCATCTGTCCCTAGCCGCAGGTAACCTCTGGATGTGCGGATACATGCCACCAGGTGATGCGCCTGTCAGCCTGTCATTGTACAGGCTCCCTGGCCGCAGCAGTCTAGAACCACCGGTGGTTCCACTGGTCCCAGCCACTGGATTCTGCTGATTCTTGCCTGGACCTTATAGGACATGTGATTGAAGCCTTAATCTTCAGCTCCTAATAAAGGCTTAATCCACCTTTATGACCCATATTTAAGGTGTAATATGGTCACATTCCCCAGCCCCCCCCCCCACCCTCAGAATTCCCTACACCTACTTGAATTGCGGGGTTCCTCTCCTTGCATCCGTCTGTTTGTGTTTGAATCATGTGCTCTTGTGCAGGCACAGGGGACGTCTGTTCTTGTGACAGCTGTCACAGATAGGATTTCCTCTTATTGAAGAAATCAGTTTACTTCCTGTTGCGTTGCTGAGGACAGGAAGTGCTGGGAAATCTCACTGGTTGGGACAGCAATAAATTCTCTCTACTTCTGTTAAAGACGAACTCCAGGAATTGTAAAAACGAATCCTTGCAGTGGGACTACTGTGCAATGCAAGGGCTACCTGGTCCTTTTGGCCCAAGGGCTAAAATAAAGAAAATATACTCACCTGATCCTTAGTCCACCTGGGTGCTAGACCGGTCCCCGCAGCCTCTTCTTCACTGGGCTCCAGGACCTGTGATGTCATCACCTCTAATGCAGCTGCATTCGATGTGAGGACGCCGAGGGACATTCCACTGCCAGAGCAGTGAGAAGTCATCACTGCAGGACTGAGGATCAGGTGACCAGAATGAGCTGTTAACACTTGTATTGGGGTGAGGTCGGTGGGTGGGGGTAGTCCCACTGCAAGGGTTAGTATTCACAATTCCTGGAGTTCCTCTTTTAATTTTAGGGGTATAGGAGAGTCTTTATTTTTCTGTTGCTGCTTGATGTCAATGAGCTGATCTTATTTAAAGGGAGAGTTCAGCTTTGATAAGTCAGAAGTTTCTAGGTAAGCCCCATCGAGATCCCAGCTACCATTTTGTATATTTGACATGTTAACCCTTTTCTGACCAGGTGGTGATGCTTCAATCATTCCCATGAGTCCCCCAGAAGACCAACTCTGCCCCACTTCTTCTGTACTGGAGAAGACATCACTGGTCACTGACTCCATGAATCCGGGGTGTAAGAGGAAGAGGATGGACTGTGAACATTCATCGAGCACCAAGAAAGTGAAACAAGATGGAGGAGAGAGTAGAGATGAGTCACATGACCAGGAAGACAGTCAGACAGCAGACAGTGGCTCCACACCTGAAGCGTTGGATGTCTACAGGACAGGAGCCAAGTGTGTGCCTGGGGTAGCCCAGGATAGTCACAACCCCGGGGTGGACTATCACACTGTGGGGGTACTCCGTGTCAAACCAGGCCGTGGCGACCGCACTCTGTCCATGTCTTGTAGCGATAAGATGGCTCGATGGAACGTGCTCGGCTGCCAGGGGGCGCTGCTTATGCATTTCCTGCAGCAGCCAATCTACCTTGCAGCGCTTGTGGTTGGAAAGTGTCCTTTTAACTTGGAGTCTATGGAGAGGGCTCTGCACAGCAGGTATTGTGATCGTATGATAACTGTGTGCTTTGCTGCGGGCAACACATGGCACAGAGTGTGACGAGTCTTCTAACCGGCAGATGCGCAAAGGTGACGGCTCTCCCGGAAGCATTTACAGTTCATACATTGGACATCAGGCAATCACAATTACAGTTTCATCACGGGAAGGAGGCGCTGAAAGATGGAGACGACACAAGAAAACTGGTTCCTTGTGGTTCAGGTGAGATCCGTTTAAAGGTAACGTGCTTTGCTAATGCAGATGCACTCCGCCACTGACATAATAATACCCGGTGGTCTGTTGGTGCCGTGACAGAGATCAGAGATTGGCACCAGCACTGCCGTGATGTGCAGTGACACATTGGAAGGAGGTCTTGTGGTCTCCTATACCCAGAAACAGCTGCTATTTTGTGGTGGCTGAGGCAGTGGAAGAAACAGAGGGGAGTGCTGGTGAAGTGAATATAAGTGTGTTGGGGGGGAAAGGGGGGTCTCTTTACACAGACACTGATTTTGTACTGAATGGGCAAAGTGATCGTTTCTCTTTAAAGCAAACCTGTTGCTTTGCCCCAAATGGCCAAAGCACAGGTTTGCTTTATGGGTCAACTTTGCTTTATGGGTCATTACATCCTAGAGATGCACCCATTTCTCTGTATCGAGCACCCATATTTCTTTCCCAGTACTTGCTGATAACGGAGTCCCATTAAGGAAGTCAGGCGGCGTGTGATGACTTGCCACCCGGCTTCCCGATTAGCAGGGAAGCCGTCTCCATGCTTCCACGTCCCCAGGTGACGAGGGCGCATGAAGACGGCTTTCTGGCCAATCAGAAAGCTGGGGGGCGTGTAATAACTCGCCATCCGGCTTCTTTATTGGCCAACTTCCTGACCAATCAGGAAGCCGGGCAGCGAGCCATTACACGCTTCCCGGCTTCCCCGAGCATGGAGCTGGCTTCCCAGCCAATCAGGAAGCCGGGCAGTGTTTAATGCCTTGATGCCCGGCTTCCTGATACCGGAAGCTCAAGTATTGGGGTAGGCATTGGAGCACTTGGCATCGACACCGATACCGATACTAGTATCGGTGCATCCCTATTACATACCATTTCTGCTCCAATCAGTGACCTAAGTCATACCTAAGTGTCTCCATAGTAGAGGATAGAACTGCCTTCCACTGCAATTTTGCAGTGCTTGCTATCTAAATGACCTATCAGGGTCTGGGCATTGCCATGTGGTACAGCGGTGCCTATGGCTGTACATATACTATCTTTTAGAGAATCCACATTGGCATAGGCTGTTGGGAAGGTTCCAGGCGGTGCTTTTTCTGACCTGATCATTTTCATCAGCTGCCTGTCCACCCGTTGGTGGATTCACGAGGACCTCAACTCCCCAGATATAGCTGGTCTTTTGCTGTTATGAGAATAAGCAACTGATGACTGCAGAACATCCAACGGGGGGGAAGGAAATCCTTTCACTGGACTGAATTCTTTCAGGCAGTTTATTAATGTTCTCTACTGTGAGTCACGTCTGTAGATACTTGTGTTGGGAATATGCATGCTGTTACTACGCAACTCCTAATGCTTCGATGCCTAATCCACAGCTATCAGCTGGAGTTCAGTTCCACAGCAGCCTCTGGATGTCACTGCGAATGGCTACAGACAAGGAACAACGAAGAAAGCCATTGGAACCCCACAGTCCAGGTATGAGTCATAATGCACACTATCCATTCACTGCTTTCCAACAGAAACCTTCATCTCATCATACACTTGTACACTGAGTGGCCAGATTATTATGACCACCCCATCAGTACTGCGTTGGGCCGCCTCGTGACTCCACGAGATGTTGAAAGGTGATGCGAGGAATCTGACACTGCACTGTTGCCCTTCTGTTGTCTTGTACCAGTCTTGCCGCTCTCCGTTCTGCCCTAACATTGACTAGTCGCTGACGGCCACAATTCGCACATTCAGACCCAGATTTTCGGCTGACAGTCCGGTCTTTGAACGCTTTAACAACAGCTGCTCTTGAACATTTAACAAATTCTGCTGTTTTGCTGATAGTCGCTCCATGGCTCCGAGCGCCAACAATCATCCCACGCTCAAAGGCTGTTACATCGCGTTGTTTCCCCGTATCTTCAGAATCACTTCTACTGTGGTGGTAACCAACCTGCTTCCCTATTTATAATGGTCTGGCCCTCTAGCAACTTCAGCGCCAAATTATAGCTAATTTGCCTACAAACGTCAGGTGGTCATAATAATCTGGCCACTCAGTGTATATTTTGGGTGCAGTTAAGACAGTCAGCGGCATTGGAACTGCATGAAGGAAATCTCTTTTTTGGGTCACAGAAGGACATTCTCTAATGTCCTCCTGTGACCCAAAGTCGGCATAGAGTGGGCTACTGCTCACAGCGGTATGCTGCCAGCACAGAGCCACTCTACCGTTGGGAAAGATCTTGACAATATTGTCAAGAGCCACCCGGCTGGCTGATTGACAGCTGGCTCTCTAGTTCCGGTCAGTGGGAGATTTCCTGTGACCGGCAGTGCCGCGAGGGAACATGGAGCCGGCTTCCCGACCAGCCGGGGAGCAGGTAATGACTCGCCGCCTGGCTTCCTGGTTGGCCCGGAGGCCGGCTCCATGCTGATTGACCTCAATCGGACAAACATCATAGAGCCGGCTTCCCAGCCAATCAGGAAGCTGGACGGCGGGTAATAACCCACCTCCCGGCTTCCTTATTTAGCCAGGAAGGCGGCTCCATGCTGTTTGGCCGGCTCACTTCTGATTGCCGGGGAAGCCGGCTCCATGCTAGCAGAAGCACCGGTATCGGCACTCGTACTCGATATTGAAAAACCGAAAAACCGTTGTCGGTGCATCACATATAATATGTCATATATACCCATTTATCTCAAAATACATCTTTTTTTCTCTCTAACCCTGAGCAATAAACCTGTACAAAATCAGGGATTGGGGCAGCACATTGGTGTAGTGGTTGGCTCTTCTGCCTTGCAGCACTGGGGGTCAGGACACTATCCGCATGGAGTTTGCATGTTCTCCCCATGCTTGTGTGAATTTCCTCCGAGTACTCCGGTTTCCTCCCACACGCCAAAGACATGCTGGAAGGGTAATTGGCTCCTCTCTCAATTGGCCCTGTGTGTATGTATGTGAGATAGGGACCGCAGATTGTAAAGTAAAGCTCTGTGTAAATTGTCGGCACTTTATAAATACCTGTAATAATAATTGAGAACTGATGTCTCTTTGTCTGCACAGGTCCCGGATCTGTAAAGCGGAGTTATTTCACACATTCCGGGATCTGGTGAAGGGCCAGTCCGAGGAGCAGCTTCCAGAGTCACTCAGGTGAGACATCCTGAATTCCCTACATTCCTCTCTGTACTGATCCCCGAGATGAGAACACAAGCGGGCCTTGAAACACAACAAATGCAGCCAACCTGAGTCTGGAGATTGTAGATGTTGGCGCTTTACTGTCCTAGAACATTCTTGTGCTTTGAGGAGATCATTGTGCATTGCAGCAGGTGCAGCTTTAGGTATTTTTGTAACATGAAGCTGATGCTATTTTCGATACCGGGTCAAATTTGGGAAGTTGCTTTGCTTGAATTAAAAAAAAAAAAAACACATTTAATGATGTGTTAACGATCTCAGAGCCGCATTCATTTGTGCCTTTTATATCGGCCTGCAGCTCAGCTTTAGAGCAGAACTGCGGGAGAAATGTTCTTAACCCGTTCAGTAGGGCTACCCGGCTACCCCCCACACTGCAAGGGCTAAGTGCTTATTTTTTGTCTAGGTTCAAAAATAAAGTTATACTCACCCGATCCTCGGAGGCAGCTGGATCTTAGACTGGTCCCTTCCACATTAGGCCCAAGACCTTAGGGGGAGCATGGTGGAAGGGTCCGGTCTAATAGCAAGCCGGCTCCGAGGATCAGTCTAAGAGCAAGCCGGCTCCCAGGATCAGTCTAAGAGCAAGCCGGCTTCGAGGATCAGTCTAAGAGCAAGCCGGCTTCAAGGATTAGTCTAAGAGCAAGCCGGCTTCAAGGATCAGTCTAAGCAAGCCGGCTCCGAGGTTCAGTCTAAGCAAGCCGGCTCCGAGGTTCAGTCTAAGAGCAAGCCGGCTCCGAGGATCAGTCTAAGCAAGCCGGCTTCGAGGTTCAGTCTAAGCAAGCCGGCTCCGAGGTTCAGTCTAAGCAAGCCAGCTCCAAGGTTCAGTCTAAGAGCAAGCCGGCTCCGAGGATCAGTCTAAGCAAGCCGGCTTCGAGGATCAGTCTAAAGGTGGCCATACACTGTACAACCATTGCAAGACCTTAGTCTTGCGATGGTTGTACAGGGATTAAAAAAACGTACGATCTGCCCATCTTGGACAGGCAGATCGCACTCTCGATCATCGCAAGCCCGCCCCGCTGAGGGGCGGGCTTCCGATGACCGCAATGCTGAACGGGCAGTGTGCACGTGCGCACACCGGCCCGTTCGGCATTTGTCTTCCGAGCACCGTTCTAACCAGCCGAAAATCGTACGATTCCCGGCTGGTTTTCGTACAGTAGAAAGGGTCGCACGTCTCCGTTCACACTGCTCGATTATCGTACGAAAAACCGATCGCATACGATTATCGTACGATAATCGTGCAGTGTATGGGCACCTTAAGGGCAAGCCAGCTCCGAGGATCAGTCTAAGCAAGCCAGCTTCGAGGATCAGTCCAAGAGCAAGCCGGGTCCGAGGATCAGGTGAGTAACTTTGTTATTTTTGAACTTAGACAAACTGAGCACTTAACCCTTGCAGTCCAGGGGTAGCCCCGCTGCAAGGGTTAAGAAAAAAGTTTCCTTGCAACAAAGGATTACTCTGATGGGCCTTTCCATGCTGGTGTACAGTAAATCATATGGATCAAGTTATTCAGCCCAAGAGACGCGCTGATGGCGAGCCGCCAGCTACGACATACACCGCTTTCGTGTTCTCTGCCCAACGAGCTGAACTGCCCAGTTCTAATCCCAAAGGATGCGACAGCTTGGCCGCGTTTCCACGCTACGTGTGATGTTACCGCGCTCTGCACACTGGGTGGATCATAAAGATGTCGGATCTGTTATAAAGACTGTGAGCCTTCCGTTGGCTCTCAAAGCACCCCAGGCCTCATATAACCTGTCACCGTGTCGGTTGCTGGCAGAGTTTAACCAACAAGGTCTGGGTACCGTCTGATCCATCCACCTAAAATGATTTACGTTTGATATCTGCCCCCGTCTCCGAATTGTGCTCCTCGGTTGTCACCCTGTCACATGGGCTGCTCCATTTCCACGTTTCGACACACAGTCCGCTGTTGTCACCATCAGGAAACCCGCATTGATAATTGCCATGCAGCCATCACTGGAGTGTATGGGAATTAGATATACGCACCTGATCCTTGGTCGGCACTCACCCCTCTCACCCTGCACTCTGTCTCCGGAGTGTCGTTTCATGTCTTCACATCTAATACAAGTCAATGGACCTGCCATAGGCATGATGACGTCAGCGGTCCTTAGACCATCGGAGCCCAGGGATGAAGAGGCTGCGGGGGCCGGTCTAGCAGCTCGGAGGAACTGAGGATCAGATGAGCATATCTGCTTTATTTGACCCCCTCCCAGCAAAACGAGCGCTTAACCCCTGCAGTGCAGGGGTAGCTCCACAGAAAGGGTATGTTATAAAAATTCCTGAAGTTCTTCTATAAACGATGGCAAGTGCTTACGATGCGCAGTGCTTTAGCATACTACATTTGATCCAGTTAGGGTTTACATCTACTTTAACCCCTTCATGGCTGAGCTTGTTTTCCGTTTCTGTTCGTAAATGACTGACGCACTTTTTTCATTTGTGCTGTGTGATACTTCCACGTCAGTAATATACTTTCTTAGGCTGGGCACACACCTTACAACCATCGCAAGACTTTTGCCTTGCGATGGTTGTAAGGCACTTAAAAAAACGTACGATCTGCCCATCTTGCATAGGCAGATCGTACTTGCGATGATCTCAAGCCACGCCCCCTGAGGGGCGGGCTTCCGATGACCGCAATGCCGAACGGGCAGTGTGCGCTTGCGCACACCGGCCCGTCCGGCTGTTATCGTACGGACATGCCACAAACCCGCCGAACATCGTACGATGCTCGGCGGGTTTTCGAACATGTCTGTAAGTTTAAAGTCGTGCGACCTTACAGTAGCATAGGTCGCACGGCTTCCACACACCTTGCGATAATCGTACGATCGCGGGATTTCCCGCGATTATCGCAAGGTGTGTGGGGACCTTTACAAAGCGCACCCACACAGATAATATATTGTTTTTTAGAGGACAGATAGGGCTACATATTTATATCACACATGTGTACCTAACGCCTCACTTAGGACGAATAAAATATACAAAAAAGAGGAAAAAACTTAAAGAAAACACTTTTTCCCCAGTTTTGATTTGTGGTATTCTTTACAAAAACAGCACAGCTAAAAAAAAAAATACAATAAATACATTCATTTATTTGGAAAAACCTCACCTCCCTAGGATTTTAGAAATGTTTCTGTACTACTCGGCCTAAAACTAAAGCCTAACATTTTAATCTTTTTATTTTCTAAAAGCTAACGCTAAAAGTGGTCACCTGGCATACAATGTCACCGTCACTAAGTGTCACACTCAGTGACAGCGACATACTTTGAACATCGCTGTCATGAGGGGGGGGGGTTAAAGCCGTATACCCCACCGTGGCTCTGGATCACCCATGTCGTTCCATGTAATGGGTTCTCCTGTGCAGCGGACGGTGACTATACCTCTCTTGGACAGAGCCGGTAAATTGGGGCCCTGGGGACTAATAAACGCCACTCCCAAGCTATTGGCATCGTTAAATTAAAAAAACACTTAGGTGCCTGACGTCACGGCTGGTGGCACGGCCAGGAAAAGCTGACTAGTGTCTGCGAGCGCGGAGAGGCCCGGTGTCACGCTTACACACAGAGGCCTTTTTATGAATGAACCATCTCCTGGCAGAAGACGGGTTGGTTTTGGAGCCTGTCTGTGCCGCTAACTCCGATCACACCCCAGCAGCTGTTTGGCCTCTATTGTGCATTATCGGAGGGATCGAAAATGGGATTTTACCGTGACGCTCTGCTTAAAGGGGAAAAGGAGAATAAAAAACCCCCCTCCTGTGAGCATTATATGGCACCATGTAATAGACGTCGTCTTGCACTTGTCTTGCCCCACTCCCCATCTGTACGGAGAGCCTGTAGTCCATGGGTAGCCAAACTCTGGCTCTCCAGCTGTTGTGGAACTACAAATCCCATGAGGCATTGCACGACTGACAGTTACAGGCATGACTCCCAATGGCATGTGTAGTTAAAGTACAGCTGGAGGGTTGGAGTTGCCCACCCCTGGCCTTATGGGACTTGTAGTTCCACAACAGCTGCCTCCAGAGATGCTTTGATGGCTGTTTAGGACTCTACAACTCATAGAACTGAAAGAATCACTTGTAATTGCTTCTTAGCCCCAGTACACACTTAAAGTAAAACTCAAGCAATTTTTTTTCCAGAGGGGCGGGCTTCCGATGACCGCAATGCTGAATGGGCAGTGTGCGAGTGCGCACACCGGCCCGTTCGGAAGTTATCTCTCGATCATGCTAAAAAACCAGCCGAAAATCGTACGATTCTCGGCTGGTTTTTGAACATGCTCGAAATACAAAAGTCGTGCGAACGTGCAGTAGAAGCGGTCGCACGCCTTCCATACACTGCAGGATTATGGTACGATCGCTGGGCACCTTTAGACTGAGATGTATCATGAAATGTATGACAACATATATTTTCCGAGAACATTACATATGTATGGTGTTCTGTCTTTAGGTCCCGGGAACTGAATACGTATCGGGAGTATAAGGAAGCCGCTGTGTCTTACCAGGAAGCCTGGAAGCAATTACGACAACAGGCGTTTACATCCTGGATCCAGACTCCTCGTGATTACCTTCACTTCAGCTGACGCGCTCCGCATACATGAGACCTGTCTTGTCTGGTGGGCAGATGATGGAAATTTTTTTCAGCGTTCAGATGGAACCAGAATTTCAATTCATACAGTTTATGATTTCACAATGTTTCTAACAACAATGGAATGTTCTATTTAAAAAAATAAAATAAAAAGTTTTATTTATTGAAATGGCTTCCAGGAAAAAAAAGGATCTTATCAGCCATTGCAGCTGCGTGTTCAGTGCTTCCTTCTGCTTTATCTAATATTTCAATCAAGCCTTTGGGAAAGTTGAAGATCTAGAAATTCATGAGCTAAGCCATCAAAAACAGGTTCTAAAAAGACTACAGCGTTGGCTCCCATTGGTCAGTAGCAGTGTTAGTTGTTTGCTATAGTAGTAGCATGTGCGCAGGGATGCTTGCCTTGGCAGTGCCACAACTTCTGGCACAATGGCAGCACTGATTGAGAGCAATGGAAGTGCCAGGCAACAGCACGTGACCAGTGACCAGTACCCTTTATTAAAGTGACACCAAACTCAGGAGCCACTCAGGAGTTGGATCTTAAAAATACATTCAAGTATCTTAACTATCAACAAAAACTTATCTTATTTGTGTATCACTCGGCTGTAGATCCTCCAATCATCTCTGAATTGGTGCTGACACTGTCCTTCCTTCTGGTGGGTGGCTACTTTTGTTCCCCATGGTCCCTGTGTGTTGTAAAGTAGTCACCGCTCCAAGGTTGCTCCTGTGATGGACTACAGTCTCATGTTTAGTTTACTCATCTGTATTGCAATTGTAGTTCAGCATGGGAGTGAGCTTGGAGCGGTGACTACTTTACATCAGTCACTTTTACATCAGAGTTCCCCTTCACGTCAGGAGCCTCCTCCTTTTACATCAGAGTACCCCCTCTCAGACTAGGAACCTGTCTTCACATCAGGGTCCCTTTTAAATTAGGAACCCCACTTCACACCAGAATCGTTTACATTAGAGTTCCCCTTCATGTCAGGATCCTCCTCTTTTTACATCAGAGTACCCCCTCTCACACTAGAAGCCCCTCTTTACTTTAGGAGCCCCTTCACATCAGTAGCACCCTCCTTTTATATCAGAGCCCCGCCTATTACATCAGAGTCCCTGCTTTACATCAGTGCCCCCCCCTTTTATATCAGAGCCCCGCCTATTACATCAGAGTCCCTGCTTTACATCAGTGCCCCCCCCTTTTATATCAGAGCCCCGCCTATTACATCAGAGTCCCTGCTTTACATCAGTGCCCCCCCCTTTTATATCAGAGCCCCGCCTATTACATCAGAGTCCCTGCTTTACATCAGTGCCCCCCCCTTTTATATCAGAGCCCCGCCTATTACATCAGAGTCCCTGCTTTACATCAGTGCCCCCCCCTTTTATATCAGAGCCCCGCCTATTACATCAGAGTCCCTGCTTTACATCAGTGCCCCCCCCTTTTATATCAGAGCCCCGCCTATTACATCAGAGTCCCTGCTTTACATCAGTGCCCCCCCCTTTTATATCAGAGCCCCGCCTATTACATCAGAGTCCCTGCTTTACATCAGTGCCCCCCCCTTTTATATCAGAGCCCCGCCTATTACATCAGAGTCCCTGCTTTACATCAGTGCCCCCCCCTTTTATATCAGAGCCCCGCCTATTACATCAGAGTCCCTGCTTTACATCAGTGCCCCCCCCTTTTATATCAGAGCCCCGCCTATTACATCAGAGTCCCTGCTTTACATCAGTGCCCCCCCCTTTTATATCAGAGCCCCGCCTATTACATCAGAGTCCCTGCTTTACATCAGTGCCCCCCCCTTTTATATCAGAGCCCCGCCTATTACATCAGAGTCCCTGCTTTACATCAGTGCCCCCCCCTTTTATATCAGAGCCCCGCCTATTACATCAGAGTCCCTGCTTTACATCAGTGCCCCCCCCTTTTATATCAGAACCCCGCCTATTACATCAGAGTCCTTGCTTTACATCAGAGCCCCCCGTTCACATCAGGCACCATCCTAACATCAGAAGCCTTCCTGCACCATAGAAAGGCATGACGCTATGTGAACATTTCGAGGCACCCCGGTTTAGAAAGGCTGATCTAGGCAATGAAAGAAGGACACACATCCCTAGTGACGTATTGATTTTTTTATTAGCGGGACTGTGTAAAGGTGTATAGTTACATACCAGTAATCACTGATATAATGAGAGCTAGCACTAACAGATGGAGTTCTACAACTGAAGACAGTAAAATGATGTAACTGAAAGCTAAGCCGTCGTGGGACAAACAGAGAGGCCGCCATTGCTGAAAATGCTAGTGTCCTGGCTATCCGGCCGATGCTCTGACGTATGCTGAGTGACTGACCCCGGACAAGTATACAGATCAGGAAAGTCAGGAGCCCATATTTGCATACTTCTTTTGTGTCAGCCACTCAGACTGTTGAACCAAGGGGATCTGCATACCAGCCCACACGTTCAGAAGGATGTCAGCAATGGCAGCCTGCGTATTTCTCTCACCACTGGTTTCCTTTAAAAGATAATCTGAAATCAATATGAATGCTGCCGATTAGTTGATCTAACTTCTTAATAGGTTCTACAGTAAAAATAATTAGAATGAGCCTGTACATAGATGCTAGCCCTGCCCTTAAAGGTTCCTCCCTTACCTTAAGGCTCGGGGCACATAGGGCCCAGCTTGTACAAGAGCAGTGTGTACGTGAAGCAATTGCAAAGCTTCCCCTGCTGAAAGTCAGCTTCTCCACTATAGGTCCTTCTTCTTCCAGGATGAATGACGCCCTGGGTCACTCAGGCCAATTCCTATGAGCCCAGGGCGTCATGGACACACCCCTCCCTTGGGATTGCATCATGATGTCAGCCTGGGCTCACACTGCCGCTGCACAGAATAGCACTTATACATCGCTACACTGTGTTGGAGCAAGGGAGGCCCCTGTAGGACATAGAGAGTAGAGAACCCGGGAATGGATGGAAGAAGATGCTGGATTTAAGGTATGCATGCTATAATTGTTTTTTTTTAAATGCAGCCTGGGGTGCATGAACATCCTGGAGTTAGGCCGAAAAGTGACAGTCAGCATTCCAATGTGTGAGCTGTGGGGAGCTTCAGGAACGCTTTGCTTACCTCTGGATGCTGTAACACACCAGGCAAACCTGCTGCCAATATGCAGCCCCCAGCACTGCCACGTAGATGCCGCAGGTCAACCAGCTGACACATACGCAGCCACCTTGGCCTCAATGGCTCCTGTGCCATGTAGGAGAGTTTCCATTATGCCAAGTGGTTGGCGACAAGACTTTGATGACCAGAATGACCTCAGTAAGTGCTGTGCAATTAAAGTATAATTCCAAAGTTTTTAATAGACTGGCGATCCCCTATGCGAAAGATCTCTCTGCAATCCCTGTCGTGTCACTAGAACAGGCAGTGAGGGGAAATTTCTCCAACAGGGATGTAGATCTAAGCCTTCCTTTTCCTCTACAAAGACAAAGTTCCGTTTGGCGCTGTACTTTAAAATGTATCTAAACCCAAAAATATCATAGATCACATCTTACCAGTCCTTAGGTGTGGTGGCTGCATTAGCTTTCTTTTTCCCCCCAATTTCACCTGGTGATCTTGCCAGTAACACACTTCCAGTGGCTCACTGTTATGTATCTATGGAAGATCACTGTTGTCACCCTAGGACAGGCAGTGTATTAAGACTACAGAACAACTCTCCTCTTCTCCATTACGTTCCATAGTCCAATATCACCGCTCCATCACAGCAGCACCAGAGAGAATGGCGGGTGCACAATGACCGAGCCCGTCTTGCTCCAGCAGCAGCACAGTTACCCACACATACAAAAATGTCCGGTCACACATCGCAAGCTGCGCTGAAAATTGTATTTATAGCTCATAGGTAGCATCATCCCGCCGTGAATACTCTTTAGTCTGACATGTTTCACCCAAGAATGGGATAAGTCATAGAGATAAAGGGGGTCCAGAGAGATAGAGGAGGGTCCAGGCCGGGAGCATATACGTATGTCTATACACACACTGATTCACAAGCGCATTACAATATTGAAGGGGAATATATAAAAGGTGATGCTGCTTCCCCTTTAATATTGGAATGAGCTTGTTAATTGGCAACTGTGTGTATAGGCATATGTGCTCACTGCCTGGACCCTCTTCTCTCTCGCTAAGGACCCTCTTCTCTAAGGTCCCTCTTCTCTCTCGCTAAGGACCCTCTAAGGTCCCTCTTCTCTCTCGCTAAGGACCCTCATCTCTCTAAGGACCCCATTCTCTTTCGAGGGAGGAGGACCCTCTTCGATCCCCAAGGGAGGACCCTCTTCTCTAAGGACCCCCCTCTTCTCTCTCTAAGGACCCCCCTCTTCTCTCTCAGGACCCCCTTCTATCTCTAAGGACCCCATTCTCTTTCGAAGGAGGAGGACCCTCTTCGATTCCCAAGGAGGACACTTTTCTCTAAGGACCCCCCTCTTCTCTCTCTACGGACCCCCCTCTTCTCTCTCTACGGACCCCCCTCTTCTCTCTCTACGGACCCCCCTCTTCTCTCTCTATGGACCCTCTTCTCTCTCTAAGACCCCCCTTCTCTCTCTAAGGGCCCCCTTCCGTCTCTAAGGGCCCCCTTCCGTCTCTAAGGACCCCCTTCCGTCTCTATTCATGGAGGGATGGTGTATACCTGTGTGCTACTTTCTTTTTCCCCCCAATTTCACCTGGTGATCTTGCCAGTAACACACTTCCAGTGGCTCACTGTTATGTATCTATGGAAGATCACTGTTGTCACCCTAGGACAGGCAGTGTATTAAGACTACAGAACAACTCTCCTCTTCTCCATTACGTTCCATAGTCCAATATCACCGCTCCATCACAGCAGCACCAGAGAGAATGGCGGGTGCACAATGACCGAGCCCGTCTTGCTCCAGCAGCAGCACAGTTACCCACACATACAAAAATGTCCGGTCACACATCGCAAGCTGCGCTGAAAATTGTATTTATAGCTCATAGGTAGCATCATCCCGCCGTGAATACTCTTTAGTCTGACATGTTTCACCCAAGAATGGGATAAATCATAGAGATAAAGGGGGTCCAGAGAGATAGAGGAGGGTCCAGGCCGGGAGCATATACGTATGTCTATACACACACTGATTCACAAGCGCATTACAATATTGAAGGGGAATATATAAAAGGTGATGCTGCTTCCCCTTTAATATTGGAATGAGCTTGTTAATTGGCAACTGTGTGTATAGGCATATGTGCTCACTGCCTGGACCCTCTTCTCTCTCGCTAAGGACCCTCTTCTCTAAGGTCCCTCTTCTCTCTCGCTAAGGACCCTCTAAGGTCCCTCTTCTCTCTCGCTAAGGACCCTCATCTCTCTAAGGACCCCATTCTCTTTCGAGGGAGGAGGACCCTCTTCGATCCCCAAGGGAGGACCCTCTTCTCTAAGGACCCCCCTCTTCTCTCTCTACGGGCCCCCCTCTTCTCTCTCTACGGACCCCCCTCTTCTCTCTCTACGGACCCCCCTCTTCTCTCTCTATGGACCCTCTTCTCTCTCTAAGAACCCCCTTCTCTCTCTAAGGGCCCCCTTCCGTCTCTAAGGGCCCCCTTCCGTCTCTAAGGACCCCCTTCCGTCTCTATTCATGGAGGGATGGTGTATACCTGTGTGCTACAATAACGGATTGGCCCATTATAGGGTGCTGTGTGCTAGAATACATTTTGCAGTGAAGCTTGAAGCAGTGTGCGACTGGACTTTTCTCCTCTTCTCCATAACATAGTGGAGGTGGAGAGGATTTGTAGTCCACGAGGAGGACTGGGAACAATGCAACTGATAAGAGTGAAGCAGAGACAGACATCTGGCAGGATTTTTGGCAGGATCTGGTATTTCCTTTCGCACTTATCAAAACACTTTCAATGATATATTTAACAGACCAAAGGGGAACAAATAGAAGTTCGGTGTGACGGTTCACATGCCCTTCAAAGTGATCCTGTTACAATCCTGGGGCATACAAACTGAGCATGTCTCGCAGGATCAACAGGTATTTTTTTGTACCGAAAATGTGCTTAGCTTGAAAAAGGAAAAAGAATGCAACCGCGGCATCTACAAACTGCTACGCTGCAATATATTACATTCTTTTTTGGGGTTTAGATATCCTTTAGGGCAGGGGGGGCGGCTCTTTGCAGGTAAGGGAAGAAGCTCTGCTTACATCTATGCACAGGTTCCCCCATCTTTCATAATTGTAACGGAAGAAGCGTCCAGAGCACCCATTCACCTATGCGCAGTGCATGCAGCCAGGTCCTCTTTAATACATACAATAATGAGCCCCTTTTGCTGACGTAAAGCCCGCCGACTTATTTTGTACATGTGGTCTGTGGCTTTGACAGAAAAGAGGCTGAGAAAAAACCAAAAAAGCGCAAAAGAATAAATTACCCGGAAATATCTACAGACAGAGATATACATGGAGGACGAGAATGAGTTTAACAGAAACACATCCAGTTACTGAGCCGCTACGCTATAGGGCAGTTACGCATTGCGCCAAAACCACGGTCGTTATTTACAAGATTCACAAGCTGTTGAGGCGTTTAAAAGCCGAACGTGTTCTCGCCGCTGTACGCCACGTACAAGAAGCCATCTTCGTCTTTTTCTTTCTCGTACAGCTGTCCCATGGTTAGGCTGGAAAGGAAGGACGAGAGGGTTGTCTGTCATTCGGCTTGTTTAAAAGGTAAAGCTTCATAAGTAAGGGCCCCCTCCCCCCCTATTAATTCATTTCTAAAAAATGAAAGAACTCGGGTAAAAGTGTTCTTAACCCTCGTAGTACAGGGGTAGCCCCACCGCAAGGGTTAAGTACATGTTTTTGTCTAGGCGCTAAAAAAGTTATACAGTACACTCCCCATTATCCGGCAACCACGGGGATCTGGAGATTCTGGATAAATGGAGTTTCTGGTTGATTGAGAGTTATTATTAAAAATACCCCATACAAGGGATGCACCGATACCGATACTAGTTTTGTTATTGATGCCGAGTATTTCGGCGAGCACCTGTACTCACCCAAATGCTCTGATGCCTAGCCTGATACCTGAGCTTCCGGCATCATGAAGCCGGGCGGCGAGTCATTACACGTTGTCCTGCTTCCTAATTGGCCGGGAAGCTGGCTCCACGTTCCCTCGTCACTTGGTGACGAGGGAGCATGGAGCCGGCTTCCCAGCCAATCCCAAAGCCGGGCAGCATGTAATGACTCGCCGCCTAGCTTCCTGATTGGTCGGGAAGCTGGCCAAGTAGGAAGCCGGACGGCGACTCGTTACATGATGCCCGGCCTTCTGAGTGGCCAGAAAGCAGGCTTCATGCTCCCTCATCACCTGGTAATGAGGAAGCATGGAGCCGGCTTTCCAGCCAATCAGGCATCAAGTCAAGTCATTACACGGCGCCCGGCTTCCTGATTGGCCAGAAAGCCGGCCCCATGCTTCGTCATTACCTTGTGACGAGGGAGCATGGAGACGGCTTCCCGGCTAATCAGGAAGTCAGGTGGCGAGTCATTGCCTGCCGCCCGGCTTCCTTATATGGACTTCTGGTATCGGTATTCAGTATCGGCGAGTACCGAGAAAAAAAATATCGGTACTCGCACTCGATACCGAAAAACCGGCATCGGTGCACCTCTACCCCATACTATACCATACCATAACCTCTGTATTGACTTCATATTAGTATTGAAATGCAGAAATCGAGAGCAAATTAAGACAAATAGACACACGATCACTTCCAGGATAATACATGCCGCAGATCAGCAAAGCACTGAGTACACAGGGGATTTTTTTTCTGGTTAGTTGAGAGTTCTGGTTAGTTGAATACAGATAACTGAGAGTTTACTGTACTTACCTGAACTGGTGAGCCTGCTACCTGCTTCTCCAGTCATGGAAGCCTATCTCCTCCTCCTCCACTGCAGCATTGGAATGTCTCTCAATGTCCTCCCGTCCATACACTGTGTATAGAACGTGATGGTTTACGGGACCATTGCAGCGAAGGGGGAGAGAGGCTCCAGGAACCGGTCTAAGAGCAAGCCGGCTTATTTTTCTCTTTAGCACCTGAACAAAAATGAACACCTAACCCTTGCAGTGCGTTAAGAAAAAGTCTGTCCGGAGTTCTGCTTTAAATGCTTTGAGCTGAAGTTTAATCTGCTTATATTTGGCCTTCCCTGGTTCCTCCGTGTTCCTATGCTCGTCCGTACCATCTAGTGGTGGCAGTGTCCTGTGAATGGCATCCAACCAGCTATATCAGGAGTAGCCAAACGCTGGTCCTCCACGATTCCCGGAGAGAGATGCATCATGGGATTTGTAGTTTCACCACAGCTAGAGGACCAGCTTTTGGCTACCCCTGAGCTATACGCTGGGTGGAAGATTTATAAACCAACCCAATACTGTCATTTCAGGTAGATTTTCCTATGATTCATCGGAGATCGCACATGCCCGAGCGGCTCACCTAGACTGTGGCACAGTCTTGTCTACAAACAAGAAAATGGCTTTTTCTGAAGGCAGCTGGATGCGTTTTCGGATGATCCACATGAACTGGGCCACGGTGATGTCAGAAGGGACTAAGTATTTCCGCTTGTCGATGTCCACGATCTGTGAGCCGGACACTTTCTCCACGATCACCTGAGAAGGGGAAAGCCATCATTTCAAATTCACATCCTAGCCCAAAATGGAGCAAACACCGGAGCGGCATTTATATTTAAAAGGGTTTCTTCGTACAGAAATGACATTTTCATTCTGGTTGGGCGCTCGCCATTGTATTAGGCCTTAAAGTGACATTAAACCCTCAGATTTTTTAACATAAACCAATACTGTAATGTGTGCCTTACTGTAATCCATGGTTGTTTCCCTTCTCTTTGCTGCTCTTCCTTTTAAATCCTCATGTCTTCTCATGCTGGGGGAGAACTTCCCTTTGCAGCTGAGTGCCTCTTCCTGTAGTGCTGGCTCAGGTTGCAAACCTGCACACAGACACCGTGCATCCATTCCAGAGACAAGGCAGTCTGCTGCAAAACAGAAGTTCTGCCCAGCATGAGAACAGATACAGATTTAAAAGGAAGAGCAGCAAAGAGAAAGGAAACAACCATGGATTACAGTAAGCCACACATTACAGTATTGTTTTATGTTAAAAAATCTGAGGGTTTAATGTTACTTTAAAAACTGCACGCCCTTTGCTTGTGGTTTGCATGCTGGCCTACCAGAGGGAAGAAAAGCAAGCTAAACACCCCATAGATAGAAACTGGACCACCGAATACAATAATACACGCTCCTCCTTCTGTTTATATGCAGTTTGGCCAATGGGAAGAGTGGTGACGGGTCCTTATAGTGACTCCGAGTCACTGGTTGCAGATCAGGGCTGGCTTCTATGTGTCTGGAACAAGGACATCGCAGCAGACAGAGAACAAAGCATTGCTATGGATTCTCCCGCTGGGACCGGATCAGCAGCGATAAATCAAACAGCATGAATTATTTATATGTACAAGAAGAACTACACTACACACAGTGAGGGGAGACATTTTGTGGGAGGAGTTCAGGGGAACGCCAGGTGTCCGTTCACCAGCAATTATCTCCACCAGAACATTTCTACCGCTGTGACTATAAAGCAGAGATTTGCAGCCCGGCTCACGCTGGATTTCCCCCGCAGGTGCAGGTTGTAAAGCGTGTGCTCACCGTGCATGAACGGAACGGTTTCTGTATAAAGCAGAGATGTGACATTTTACTACAGAAGTCAAAGGCTAGATTATATATGACTGGCCCTGTATGTATCCACCAACTCCATAGTAAGTGGCATTTCTGCCCAATAGAGAAGTGGTGATGTCACTGGTCTCTAGTGAATGGATAGGCTGCATTCTTAGTGATGGTACCGGTCTCTAGTGAATGGAGAGGCTGCATTCTCAGTGATGTTTCCGGTCTCTAGTAAATGGATAGGCTGCATTCTTAGTGATGGTACCGGTCTCTAGTGAATGGAGAGGCTGCATTCTCAGTGATGTTTCCGGTCTCTAGTAAATGGATAGGCTGCATTCTTAGTGATGGTACCGGTCTCTAGTGAATGGAGAGGCTGCATTCTCAGTGATGTTTCCGGTCTCTAGTAAATGGATAGGCTGCATTCTTAGTGATGGTACCGGTCTCTAGTGAATGGAGAGGCTGCATTCTCAGTGATGTTTCCGGTCTCTAGTAAATGGATAGGCTGCATTCTTAGTGATGGTACCGGTCTCTAGTGAATGGAGAGGCTGCATTCTCAGTGATGTTTCCGGTCTCTAGTAAATGGATAGGCTGCATTCTTAGTGATGGTACCGGTCTCTAGTGAATGGAGAGGCTGCATTCTCAGTGATGTTTCCGGTCTCTAGTAAATGGATAGGCTGCATTCTTAGTGATGGTACCGGTCTCTAGTGAATGGAGAGGCTGCATTCTCAGTGATGTTTCCGGTCTCTAGTAAATGGATAGGCTGCATTCTTAGTGATGGTACCGGTCTCTAGTGAATGGAGAGGCTGCATTCTCAGTGATGTTTCCGGTCTCTAGTAAATGGATAGGCTGCATTCTTAGTGATGGTACCGGTCTCTAGTGAATGGAGAGGCTGCATTCTCAGTGATGTTTCCGGTCTCTAGTAAATGGATAGGCTGCATTCTTAGTGATGGTACCGGTCTCTAGTGAATGGAGAGGCTGCATTCTCAGTGATGTTTCCGGTCTCTAGTAAATGGATAGGCTGCATTCTTAGTGATGGTACCGGTCTCTAGTGAATGGAGAGGCTGCATTCTCAGTGATGTTTCCGGTCTCTAGTAAATGGATAGGCTGCATTCTTAGTGATGGTACCGGTCTCTAGTGAATGGAGAGGCTGCATTCTCAGTGATGTTTCCGGTCTCTAGTAAATGGATAGGCTGCATTCTTAGTGATGGTACCGGTCTCTAGTGAATGGAGAGGCTGCATTCTCAGTGATGTTTCCGGTCTCTAGTAAATGGATAGGCTGCATTCTTAGTGATGGTACCGGTCTCTAGTGAATGGAGAGGCTGCATTCTCAGTGATGTTTCCGGTCTCTAGTAAATGGATAGGCTGCATTCTTAGTGATGGTACCGGTCTCTAGTGAATGGAGAGGCTGCATTCTCAGTGATGTTTCCGGTCTCTAGTAAATGGATAGGCTGCATTCTTAGTGATGGTACCGGTCTCTAGTGAATGGAGAGGCTGCATTCTCAGTGATGTTTCCGGTCTCTAGTAAATGGATAGGCTGCATTCTTAGTGATGGTACCGGTCTCTAGTGAATGGAGAGGCTGCATTCTCAGTGATGTTTCCGGTCTCTAGTAAATGGATAGGCTGCATTCTTAGTGATGGTACCGGTCTCTAGTGAATGGAGAGGCTGCATTCTCAGTGATGTTTCCGGTCTCTAGTAAATGGATAGGCTGCATTCTTAGTGATGGTACCGGTCTCTAGTGAATGGAGAGGCTGCATTCTCAGTGATGTTTCCGGTCTCTAGTAAATGGATAGGCTGCATTCTTAGTGATGGTACCGGTCTCTAGTGAATGGAGAGGCTGCATTCTCAGTGATGTTTCCGGTCTCTAGTAAATGGATAGGCTGCATTCTTAGTGATGGTACCGGTCTCTAGTGAATGGAGAGGCTGCATTCTCAGTGATGTTTCCGGTCTCTAGTAAATGGATAGGCTGCATTCTTAGTGATGGTACCGGTCTCTAGTGAATGGAGAGGCTGCATTCTCAGTGATGTTTCCGGTCTCTAGTAAATGGATAGGCTGCATTCTTAGTGATGGTACCGGTCTCTAGTGAATGGAGAGGCTGCATTCTCAGTGATGTTTCCGGTCTCTAGTAAATGGATAGGCTGCATTCTTAGTGATGGTACCGGTCTCTAGTGAATGGAGAGGCTGCATTCTCAGTGATGTTTCCGGTCTCTAGTAAATGGATAGGCTGCATTCTTAGTGATGGTACCGGTCTCTAGTGAATGGAGAGGCTGCATTCTCAGTGATGTTTCCGGTCTCTAGTAAATGGATAGGCTGCATTCTTAGTGATGGTACCGGTCTCTAGTGAATGGAGAGGCTGCATTCTCAGTGATGTTTCCGGTCTCTAGTAAATGGATAGGCTGCATTCTTAGTGATGGTACCGGTCTCTAGTGAATGGAGAGGCTGCATTCTCAGTGATGTTTCCGGTCTCTAGTAAATGGATAGGCTGCATTCTTAGTGATGGTACCGGTCTCTAGTGAATGGAGAGGCTGCATTCTCAGTGATGTTTCCGGTCTCTAGTAAATGGATAGGCTGCATTCTTAGTGATGGTACCGGTCTCTAGTGAATGGAGAGGCTGCATTCTCAGTGATGTTTCCGGTCTCTAGTAAATGGATAGGCTGCATTCTTAGTGATGGTACCGGTCTCTAGTGAATGGAGAGGCTGCATTCTCAGTGATGTCACTGGTCTCTCGTGAATGGATAGGCTGCATAGTCAGGGATGTCACTGGTCTCTAGTGAATGGATAGGCTGCATTCACATTACTGGTCCATCTAAAACTCACCATACAGGTTACAATCTGATTGCACAAGTAACATTTGACTTACCAAAATGATGTAACATGTGGCCCTTCTCAACCTATGCAATCAGTCTGTATCCAATCTGGTGGCCCGCCCACTACATAGCTGTTGGTAAATCTAAAAGGACATTGTACAGTCAGATTGTACCATGCGTGTGGTGAGCTTAGGACAAGTGCCCGGCCACAAACGTGTTCCTCCCCAGTGTAGAGGAAAGAACTCGTCTTATTAGAAATGATATGTAATCAGCCAAAACCAGTACGGATTCAGACAAACCCATCCCAGCGTTTAGCCTGAATAATTCATCAGCTCTTAGATGAGACAATAAAAAAGAAAATCACTTACCGGAACACGGTCTGGATATTTGGCTCGGATCTTTGCGGACTCCACACACCGGTGTTCTAGGATTCAAAAGATAAAAACAGAAGTTGATGAAAAACGCAAATATTTGTATAAAACGAATACAAGGGATCGTGACTGTGATTGATCCGGGAGGTGCCAGATTACTGATCGCTGGCTTTTATAGGTGACCCCCTTTTATCGGAAAATAATCATAACCAGAAGTAACACGCTTCTTTTTATTTGTGAAGGAGGAGAGAACCGTGCGTACAGGAGTCATGGTGCAAACAGAAAATCAGCTGAGCTCCAAGCGAACAGCTAAATACACATATGGGAGCTTTAGTACTTGTCAAAGGTTTTGTATTAATGTTTATCCAGTTCTTAGACTTTCACATGGGCAGGAGACAGGGCCTAGGCGGCATCTCACTTGGTCACGTGGGGTGGCAGGTGTGCGTGTCCCCCTCCCCCTTTCCAGCCAGAGCATTAGCAACCTGTGACTAGGACACATAGAAAACAATTGTTGGCCGCTGCTATCTCTGCGTCTGGCACTGTCGGCCATCCTGCACAGTTCACTTATGTCACTGGTTGCCAGGAGCTGACTGGGATGCTCTGGCTGGTGTCCTACGGGGCTCCTTGCAACTATACCACAAGGACATAAAGAAAACAATTGTTTTCTATGTGTCCCACTCACACTACAGTGCATTGGGCCCTGTCATAAGATGCAAACATGCTGGATGTTATCACAGCGCAATGGATGCCACCACAGGTTGCTGCATTGCAGGGCAGTAGACTGCACTGCTGTGCGGGGACCTGAATGGAGTGTACATATTGTGCGCTACCAATAAAGTTTAAAAAAAAAAAATTTAAACAGTGACAGCTCTGGCAGTGTGCAATACAACGCGCACTACAGGAGCTGTCACAACGCACTTGCCTGTCCACACTGGGTTAGTGTCAATGGGTCCTGAAAGGAGAAGCAGCTGATTATTATTCAGGATTTATATAGCGCCAACAGTCGGCGCAGTGTTTTACAATATAGGGAAGACATTTCAATCACAATACAATTCAAGGCAAGATGGTAAGGAGGGTCCTGCCTGTGAGAGCTAAAGGGAAGGGCTAGTGATACATGAGGTGGTAGCTGATGAGCTCATCTCTCTCACTTTGCACTCTCCTCCTATCAGCAGGTTTCTTTTACTGCAGTACTACTGACTGGTTCCTGGTGCTGCTTCTCCCTCACCCAGTCTGAGCTCTGCCACACAGAGACTATAAGAGGCTGATACCAAGTCAAATTAGGGGCTTATATAGCTTTAATAATACATAAAAAAATAAATTTAGGATCTGTCTGGAGTTTGGCTTTAACAGCCAAGTCACTGGTTCCCAGGAGCTGAGTGGGATGCTCTGGCTGGCGTCCCACCAAGCTCCTGGCAACCAGTGATGTCAGTAAACTGGGTGGGATGCCGGACAGAGCCGGACCCAGAGGCTGCAGCAGCTACCTCACATCCAAGTGAGCCAAGTATGAAGAATGCAGAGAGGTTCATCCCAATGTAGCTCAATAAAGCATCTGCGTCATTTTTCTGCCGCTATGGCCGCATTAGAAAGTCCTCGGCTAACGCATGTTACAAAATGTCTTGCTATTGGTGCAACAAATTCAGAGCGTTCTTCAGTGTGACGCTTTTACATTCTGGCGCTATAGCTGTGACATATTCATGAAGAATTTGTGAGGACATTTGTAAGAGCTTCATACTCATCATACCGACGGTTACATGAACCTTACTCAGACGGGGACAGATTTCTATTGAGTGTTTACTACATTCCAGGGATGACGTCTGCGGCATGTGGTGCAACTATTCATAGACTGCCGTGTCTTTCTACAGACCCCCCTTGTTACAATGTATCACTGCGGACAGCAAGCTTAGAAGAAATGTGAAGGTTAAAGTGATATTAATCTACATCAAATGTTGATGAAATCATTACAATGGATGCTGCTCCTTGATGTTTCCTGCAGAATCAGCTGGCCCCCTGAGCATTGGCCCTGATATCCTGTATTAGGGTGACTCTTTTCCCTTGCAGGGTCCTATGGAGTCACCCTTGTGTGTGCCTCCAGAAATACAGTACACAGGCACAGCAAGGCAAGACACCCCCCTACTCCAAGCTAGTAGACGGACCTCTGCTGGAGACTGCTCTGTCCCTTGTGATCTTGCACTGGACAGGAAGTTCAGGGAAGCCGAGCTGAGAGAGTTGGAGCTGTTTGGAAACAAGATGACTGTATGTATTTGGGCAAAATAATGTAAAGAAATACTTTGCTGGGCGATGTATATTTGTTTGACCTGGATTCCTTATTGAAAATAAATTAGGGATGTCCCGATACTAGTATCTGTGCCGATACCAAGTATTTGGGCCAGTACTCGTACTGGCCCAAATGCTCCGATACCTTCCCCGATACCGGGACTTCAGGTCAGGGGAAGATTTTCTCTGACCGGTCGTGCCGTAGGGGAAGAAGGAGACAATTTCCCTGGCAATCAGGGGGGCGTGGCTTGGCTATGGCGGCGTGAGGAAGCACATTGCTTGAGCTCTGCTACCCCAAGAGACTTTTTCAGCTGATCGAGACATCTTTTCAACCCGTTATTGATGTCGTTTAAGGGCAAAACTCGCTCTGACAACAGCCAGCGCTCACAGACCTCTCTGCAGCGCTACCTCTCATCCCCAGCGCCGACAACCCGCAGCTCCTCCAGGACGGCCATGGCGTCTGACATGCAGGGTAAGGCCTCGGGACATGCTTCACCATCCCATCCCTGTGACGCCCACGCCCCGGACGCCTCCATTCCGCTGCGGGCATCCTCCTCTACCCCCGGTCCCAGCCCGATCGAGGACCCGGTCATCCCGCTTACCATGTCCTCACAGCCACACTCGGACACGGCCGCGGCCCTGTCCGCAGGGGAGATTTCCTCCATTCTCCTCTCTCTTCCCACGTGCCAAGACATGGCCGCCCTTGTAGCCAAAATTGAGGCCGCACTCAGGAAAGGTCTCTCATTGCTATCCTTTGTTACTGACACAACCAGGGTCCTTGCACGCATTCCTACAATCCCCAGAAAGGACTAGATTGGACGTCTATGTCTTCACTTAATCAGCATTGCTTCCTTCACCTGCCCCCATGGGCCCATGTGGGGCCGCTGTGATACCTTGAATTTCTGACTTTGTATTTTTATTTTTTTGTATTATCTGTACTTCCCTTTTCCCCTATTATGTTACCCCCGGAAAATTGTGAAAAACTTCTTTAAATAAAGAATTTGTAAAAAAAAATTTCCCTGGCAAACAGGAAGCCGGGTGACGAGTAACGACCCGCCTCCCAGATTTCAGATTGGCAGGAAAGCCAGCTTCCCACCAATCAGCATGGAGCCAGCTTCCTGACCAATCATGAAGCTGGATGGCAGGTCATTACTTGCCGCCTGGGCTTCCTGATGCGCCGGGAAGCCAGCTCAATGCTGATTGGCTGGGAAGCCAGTTTCCAGGCCAATCACAATCGAGACGGCCAAACAACATGGAGCCAGCTTTCCGGGGTAATCAGGAAGCCAGGCGTCAAGTCATTACCCTCCCCCCGGCTTCCTGATTGCCCAGGAAGCTGGCTCCATGCCAGTGGACGCACCGGTATTGGTACTCGGCATCGGCGAGTATCTAAATCAAAATATCGGTACTGATATGCGATACCGAAAAACCTGTATCGGTGCATCTCTAAAAAAAGAGTTTAATAAGACTCCGGCATGACTTGTAGCACAGCTGGTGAGGTGACACATTGTATATACACCCGTGATTGGAAGGAAGGTTTCTAGCTGGTATGTCTGTGAATGATTAATGAGGAGTGAGGTGTTAGGAATGAAGATCAGGTACATAGCTGAAATATTATTACAGAGCAGGTTTCACACACTGTATATCATTTCAGTAACCCGCATATACAAAGGATGCCTGCGGCCACCATACTGCTCAAAGACAACTTGGAATTTAAAACTCCGCCTCCTGAAGTGTATCTAAACCCAAATTAAACAAAAATCATCACATCCAGTTTCAGTCTGTCATTTATCTGGCTTCTGTAGCCAGAGAAGAAGCTGGGGAAGCAGATCTGTGCTTCATTAGCTTCTTTGGGGTCCCTAGGTGTACAGTATAATGGGGGGGGGGGCACAGGGCAGGCAGTGTACAGTATAACGGGAGGGTACAGGGCAGGCAGTGTACAGTATAACGGGAGGGTACAGGGCAGGCAGTGTACAGTATAACGGGAGGGTACAGGGCAGGCAGTGTACAGTATAACGGGAGGGTACAGGGCAGGCAGTGTACAGTATAACGGGAGGGTACAGGGCAGGCAGTGTACAGTATAACGGGAGGGTACAGGGCAGGCAGTGTACAGTATAACGGGAGGGTACAGGGCAGGCAGTGTACAGTATAACGGGAGGGTACAGGGCAGGCAGTGTACAGTATAACGGGAGGGTACAGGGCAGGCAGTGTACAGTATAACGGGAGGGTACAGGGCAGGCAGTGTACAGTATAACGGGAGGGTACAGGGCAGGCAGTGTACAGTATAACGGGAGGGTACAGGGCAGGCAGTGTACAGTATAACGGGAGGGTACAGGGCAGGCAGTGTACAGTATAACGGGAGGGTACAGGGCAGGCAGTGTACAGTATAACGGGAGGGTACAGGGCAGGCAGTGTACAGTATAACGGGAGGGTACAGGGCAGGCAGTGTACAGTATAACGGGAGGGTACAGGGCAGGCAGTGTACAGTATAACGGGAGGGTACAGGGCAGGCAGTGTACAGTATAACGGGAGGGTACAGGGCAGGCAGTGTACAGTATAACGGGAGGGTACAGGGCAGGCAGTGTACAGTATAACGGGAGGGTACAGGGCAGGCAGTGTACAGTATAACGGGAGGGTACAGGGCAGGCAGTGTACAGTATAATAGGGGGGAGGGGGTACAGGGCAGGCAGTGTACAGTATAATGGGGGGTACAGGGCAGGCAGTATACAGTATAATGGGGGGTACAGAGCAGGCAGTGTACAGTATAACGGGAGGGTACAGGGCAGGCAGTGTACAGTATAATGGGGGGTACAGGGCAGGCAGTATACAGTATAATGGGGGGTACAGAGCAGGCAGTGTACAGTATAACGGGAGGGTACAGGGCAGGCAGTGTACAGTATAATGGGGGGTACAGGGCAGGCAGTATACAGTATAATGGGGGGTACAGAGCAGGCAGTGTACAGTATAACGGGAGGGTACAGGGCAGGCAGTGTACAGTATAATGGGGGGTACAGGGCAGGCAGTATACAGTATAATGGGGGGTACAGAGCAGGCAGTGTACAGTATAACGGGAGGGTACAGGGCAGGCAGTGTACAGTATAATGGGGGGTACAGGGCAGGCAGTATACAGTATAATGGGGGGTACAGAGCAGGCAGTGTACAGTATAACGGGAGGGTACAGGGCAGGCAGTGTACAGTATAATGGGGGGTACAGGGCAGGCAGTATACAGTATAATGGGGGGTACAGAGCAGGCAGTGTACAGTATAACGGGAGGGTACAGGGCAGGCAGTGTACAGTATAATGGGGGGTACAGGGCAGGCAGTATACAGTATAATGGGGGGTACAGAGCAGGCAGTGTACAGTATAACGGGAGGGTACAGGGCAGGCAGTGTACAGTATAATGGGGGGTACAGGGCAGGCAGTATACAGTATAATGGGGGGTACAGAGCAGGCAGTGTACAGTATAACGGGAGGGTACAGGGCAGGCAGTGTACAGTATAATGGGGGGTACAGGGCAGGCAGTATACAGTATAATGGGGGGTACAGAGCAGGCAGTGTACAGTATAACGGGAGGGTACAGGGCAGGCAGTGTACAGTATAATGGGGGGTACAGGGCAGGCAGTATACAGTATAATGGGGGGTACAGAGCAGGCAGTGTACAGTATAACGGGAGGGTACAGGGCAGGCAGTGTACAGTATAATGGGGGGTACAGGGCAGGCAGTATACAGTATAATGGGGGGTACAGAGCAGGCAGTGTACAGTATAACGGGAGGGTACAGGGCAGGCAGTGTACAGTATAATGGGGGGTACAGGGCAGGCAGTATACAGTATAATGGGGGGTACAGAGCAGGCAGTGTACAGTATAACGGGAGGGTACAGGGCAGGCAGTGTACAGTATAATGGGGGGTACAGGGCAGGCAGTATACAGTATAATGGGGGGTACAGAGCAGGCAGTGTACAGTATAACGGGAGGGTACAGGGCAGGCAGTGTACAGTATAATAGGGGGGAGGGGGTACAGGGCAGGCAGTGTTCACAGTACAATGATGCAGTAACCGTAAAGTGATATACTGCCGTCAAGGGGTGACCCGCCGGTAACGCTCACCCTCCCCCCTCTCACCCAGTGCGTGGTCTTCTTTGAACATCCACTTCATGGTACCGAACGGTGACAGCAACGACAACAACAACAGGGCGGAACCTCCTAATGACGCCACTTCCGGGAGAAGCTCTCTTCTCCCCTTCGGCCCCGCCCAGAGCTAATCGGTCGCCGGTGGGTGGGGCTCTCCGTCAGGAGGTCACGCAGATGGCTCGTGACGTCATAGGGTTGTCACCCTGACTGACCTGGGAAGATGGCTGCGTGCTGACAGCCATATTGCCTGAGAATGACACAGCAGTCGTCATATGATGTGTCATTGTATAAACTATCACTGGAGAAGCAGAGGGGATACATGGCCACCGATTACATAAGAGATCTGTGGTTACCATGAACCGGGTGGGAGGGTCATTCGATAGACTGACAAGGGGTGCCTTGTTTATTACAGAGTGGAAGGAGACATTGAAACAAGGTCCATCTGAGATCAGGGGGCATAAAGGGATCCTGATGCATTGAAATAGGAAATGCTGGGCGTTGTAGTTCCCCAACAACCAGAATCCCTTAACTCTGTATGTAACAATGTAGATGATACTCCCCAACATAACCTTCTGTTTCACACTACCCACAATGCATCATATTCATGCCGTGCGGGTAATAACTTCCGGAGCAGCACCTGACAGACGGATGTGGTTCCGGGCAATGGCGTCTGTTGTCATGGAGATAGGAGGCTGAAGAGCGCGAGGCCAGGGAGTTCCGAACTGTGTGCGATCAGAGCGAGGAGAGGGAACAAGAAGAGTGTATAAGGGGGAGACACAGGGGGGATACAGAGGGTTAGGTAGGACTGATCCAGGAGAGTATATAGGGGAGGTGAGGAAGGAGGCTGTGCACACAGAAGGTTATAGAGAAAGTTTGGGGTAAGAGTGGAGGGGGTACATCAGAAGGATATGTAGAGGGTTTGAAAGGAAACAAGAAGGGTAAGGTAGAACTGGTGGTGTAAAGGAGGAGGGTATATAGAGGACTGGTGGGGTAAAGGAGGAGGGTATAAAGAGGACTGGTGGGGTAAAGGAGGAGGGTATAAAGAGGACTGGTGGGGTAAAGGAGGAGGGTATATAGAGGACTGGTGGGGTAAAGGAGGAGGGTATATAGAGGACTGGTGGGGTAGAGGAGGAGGGTATATAGAGGACTGGCAGGGTAAAGGAGGGAGGATATATAGAGGATTGGCAGGATAAAGGAGGACCAGATGTGACATGACCTTATATAGTATGGAAAGTTGGGGTACATATATATGAAAGGTGAGGTATAGGAGTGGATGGGTGCTGTGGAATAGGAGGCTCTATAGGGGGAGTGAAATCGATTGATCCCACCACTGACCATTCTGGTAGCCTTCCAATGGCGATCTATGAAGTCTACTCCCACCCCTACCTGGTCAGATACAGAGCCACCATCTGCTCCAAAGCCACTGTCTTCCTGATCCTAGTGCTGGCACTGACCTACATCCCTCCATTACTTGTGGCCTATCGCAGCCAAGGTGAGACTTCATTCTCTGCTGGAGAGGAACAATGTATTCAACATTTTTACTCTTGTGTGTCTGGGATCTGCGAATGGTAAATAAACATCGTTCTACAATGTGTATAAATAGAGTTTAGTGGCTTTTGTATCTCTGTAGAATTTGTAATTAGGTGTGCATATGGTGGCCAGCCCTATTACCTTGCTGCTAACACTTGGGTTCCTCAAGCCGTGTTGTGTTGTGATTTTTGTGGTCAGTTCAGACCCGGATGATTCTTCCAACACAATATTAATTTTAAAGCAGAACTCTGGGGGCTAGGACTACTCCTGCACGGCAAAGGCTCTTAGACCGGTCCCTTCTACCTGACTCCCCCTCTGCTGCAGCGGTCTAAGGATCCTCAAGTCATCACGTTCTATAGGATGTGAGGACGCCGGGGGACATACCAGCTGGAGGGAGCGCTGTAACAGCCGTCCGACTCTGAGATTTTATTTAACCTAGACAAAAACTAGCACTTAACCCTTGCATTTGTTTTCCCCCTGGAATTCTTCTTCAAAGGAGAACTATGAGGTGAGTGATTTCCACTCCTCCTCATAGTTCGAGCCGATCTGCGACAATGAAACTCGCACGTTGGCTCAATAGATCGGGAAGTGAGCGAAAACATACCGTCGCTCACTTCTCAATCATCTCCCTGCACAGAGCGGTGACTGTCACTCACAGCTCCCCACAGGGATTCCCCCCGCCCGTTCCGATCCTCCAGCGCTTACTGGAGGAGGGGGCGGGCTCTGCCTCTAGATAGGCTAGTCACTCACGCAGCTGGGTGGATAGCATTGTCGGGATCCGTCCCGGCTGCGGTGGTCTCAGTATACCGCGAGTGGTAGCTTTTGGTCATGGGAGGGCGCTAGCATATGTCCTCCCGTGACCCTTAAGAGAACTATGAGGAAAAACACTTACCCCATAGTTCTCTTTTAAGTTGCTCATATTGTTTCTTTTCTCCCAGTCGTCCTTCAGCAAGGATGTTGATTGCACTATCTGGCATACAGATAACGGTTGGAGGAAAATACAAATCTGAGCTTGCAAAAATGTATGAAAAATAAAGGAAATGGCTGAAAATGTGAACGATGTGATAATGCGCTTTAATTCCCTTTTAATGCTTTTTAATCTTTTGCAGGATTCTGGATGAAGCGGAGCACATACGAGGAGCAGCCCAATGTTCGGTTCCAGTATGAGGTTTTGCTGATCGCCTTAAACAGCACCAGTGGCAGTTATGTGGCATGGAGCACATTTCAGCAGTTCAATAACTTGATTGGAGGCAGGCTCAGAATCCCTCTAGTGTCGGTATGTCGCGCAGTAACTATATCTGCAATTTGCATGTGAAAGGCATTAGAAACTATACTAATGGAGCCCTGATGGAGAAAGTATTAGGTCCAGTGGTAACTTGGCTTCAGGCTTGTCATAGTAACTTACTTGACTGCTACACTTTCCTAAATTGCAGAATCAAAGGCATCCCTGCAAAGAAAAGGATCGATGTCTACCCCTCCCGTCAATTTCTGGTGCCCTCATGAGCTAAACTAGCTTTGGGTACAGCCTGTGGTGTGAATGCCTGGTCCCCTGGTTCCTTCCTCTGGCCACTACATCACTACGGTGTCCTGTAGAGTTGTAGGAGTTGAAGGTATGAATCATATAATGCAAAAGAGGCGTAGGGATCAGAGGTGGGGAATAACCTTATGCAGAAGAGACTTGGGGATCGGAGGAAGAAATCACGTGATGCAGAAGAGACTTGGGGATCGGAGGAAGAAATCACGTGATGCAGAAGAGACTTGGGGATCGGAGGTGGGAATCACGTGATGCAGAAGAGACTTGGGGATCGGAGGTGGGAATCACGTGATGCAGAAGAGACTTGGGGATCGGAGGTGGGGAAACACGTGATAGAGAAGAGACTTGGGAATCGCGTGATGGAGAAGAGACTTGGGGATCGGAGGTGGGAATCACACGATGGAGAAGAGACTAGGGGATCGGAGGTGGGAATCACACGATGGAGAAGAGACTAGGGGATCGGAGGTGGGAATCACACGATGGAGAAGAGACTAGGGGATCGGAGGTGGGAATCACACGATGGAGAAGAGACTAGGGGATCGGAGGTGGGAATCACACGATGGAGAAGAGACTAGGGGATCGGAGGTGGGAATCACACGATGGAGAAGAGACTAGGGGATCGGAGGTGGGAATCACACGATGGAGAAGAGACTAGGGGATCGGAGGTGGGAATCACACGATGGAGAAGAGACTAGGGGATCGGAGGTGGGAATCACACGATGGAGAAGAGACTAGGGGATCGGAGGTGGGAATCACACGATGGAGAAGAGACTAGGGGATCGGAGGTGGGAATCACACGATGGAGAAGAGACTAGGGGATCGGAGGTGGGAATCACACGATGGAGAAGAGACTAGGGGATCGGAGGTGGGAATCACACGATGGAGAAGAGACTAGGGGATCGGAGGTGGGAATCACACGATGGAGAAGAGACTAGGGGATCGGAGGTGGGAATCACACGATGGAGAAGAGACTAGGGGATCGGAGGTGGGAATCACACGATGGAGAAGAGACTAGGGGATCGGAGGTGGGAATCACACGATGGAGAAGAGACTAGGGGATCGGAGGTGGGAATCACACGATGGAGAAGAGACTAGGGGATCGGAGGTGGGAATCACACGATGGAGAAGAGACTAGGGGATCGGAGGTGGGAATCACACGATGGAGAAGAGACTAGGGGATCGGAGGTGGGAATCACACGATGGAGAAGAGACTAGGGGATCGGAGGTGGGAATCACACGATGGAGAAGAGACTAGGGGATCGGAGGTGGGAATCACACGATGGAGAAGAGACTAGGGGATCGGAGGTGGGAATCACACGATGGAGAAGAGACTAGGGGATCGGAGGTGGGAATCACACGATGGAGAAGAGACTAGGGGATCGGAGGTGGGAATCACACGATGGAGAAGAGACTAGGGGATCGGAGGTGGGAATCACACGATGGAGAAGAGACTAGGGGATCGGAGGTGGGAATCACACGATGGAGAAGAGACTAGGGGATCGGAGGTGGGAATCACACGATGGAGAAGAGACTAGGGGATCGGAGGTGGGAATCACACGATGGAGAAGAGACTAGGGGATCGGAGGTGGGAATCACACGATGGAGAAGAGACTAGGGGATCGGAGGTGGGAATCACACGATGGAGAAGAGACTAGGGGATCGGAGGTGGGAATCACGTGATGCAGAAGAGACGTAGAGATCGGAGGAAGGAATCGCATGATGCAAAAGCAGCATAGGGATCGGAGGATGGAATTGCAGTGTGCAGAGGGGGACTAGGCACCCGACACCCCCAGATGATGAAGATTTTTTGGCCAGCGTAGCTCATGAAGACAACGGACATCAGCAGAGGGAAGGGTAAGTATTAACCCTTTTTATTTTCAGGGATATTTTGGATTCTGTTATTTACAGTGACAGTCATTTAAAAAAAAAAATCAGAGGGCAGCCCCCCCCCAATGATAACTTCCCTGTGCTCCCTTGTGGAAAAATCCTGTGTAAGCTCATTGCCAGTGCTTACTCCAGGTTAATGACCTTTTTTCACATGACGGTCTTCAAGCCTGCTGATTGTTAGCTCATACCCAAGCACCGCATCTTGAATGGAGAAGGTTGTGAGCATTTCTCAGTGAACAGATGAAGGGAATGGCTGGGGAGCACAACAAAGTATAAGCAGGTGATTGGCTATATGATGAAGAGATCCTGCCATGTCACCTTCAATGAGCAAGTATACAAATCCTCTTTCAAAGATATAAATATATATATCGCATATAAAAGTTTTTAAACCTTTGCTTTGTTTGGGGTTTACAGTTTAAAAAGCTGTCGTTTCCTGTTTTGTAGGCTCGAGAAGAAGACAGCAACCAAGATGGTAAAATGGACAAGCTGAATTTACGGCTGGAGCTTCCCCTGCTGTCCACGGAGAACGTGTACGGGGTGCAGCTTATTCTGACCTTCTCATACCAGCTCTATGTACGTAGACCGATCCTTCATAAGGACCAGATGTTTAGGCAGAGCAACATTTTGGGGTGTACAGAACACTTCTAGGCTTATTTAATAAGGCAATTGGGATGTGTAGCACTACAGAACACCCAATTATTTATCATTGTACTGAGTGATGTCATTTGATTGATTCCTGAGTCACGGTTCAGTTATTCTACACAGAGCACTGTGTGTAACGAGAGGTTTTTTTTTTTTTTTTACTCATGTCTGGCTCTTGAATTAGTTAAAGCTCCGGGCAAACGGCTAAATACACATGATGAATTCCATATAAGGAACATGTTGACCTGCCAATACGTTCCTGAGATTTACACAGCTCTGTCACACAGGACAGCCCTGTCTGGAAAAGCAGGAGACTTGATTTTTCTTGGTTGCAGTTAAGTAACACTTGGAAGTCTTGCCTCTCCCCAGCCTGTGACTGGGCAGTGAAAAGAGAAGCAGAAAAACTGATGAACCCATCTCCATCACTGTGATCGTTCCTCCTTTCAGCATGTTCCTTGTTATCACTACAGCACTGATTGGCTGCTTCTCTCTTTCCCAGCCTGAGCTCTGCTGTACAGTAGATTACAAGACCAAGTCGTATTCAGTTACTTGAGCTGCTTTAATAAGAAATAGATTTAATGATGTAATAAAAATAAGTAGCTGCATTATTTATCTCTTATATCTGCCTAGAGTCCAGCTTTGTTTGCAGGGCTCTGTTCACCTTAATGACACTTGTGGGCCGGTGCCTAAGGCAGCCGAGTAAGGGGAGCAGCACCAAACCTCCAAATGTACAAACTGACCATTTTTTGTCTTGCCTTATTTCCCTCCTATGGTCACATCTGGGCATTTGAGATGAAATTCATAAAATTGCCTGGAGAGGAGGGGGGTGCATGCGATGTGGAGAGGAGGGGGGTGCATGCGATGTGGAGAGGAGGGGGGTGCATGCGATGTGGAGAGGAGGGGGGTGCATGCGATGTGGAGAGGAGGGGGGTGCATGCGATGTGGAGAGGAGGGGGGTGCATGCGATGTGGAGAGGAGGGGGGTGCATGCGATGTGGAGAGGAGGGGGGTGCATGCGATGTGGAGAGGAGGGGGTTGCATGCGATGTGGAGAGGAGGGGGTTGCAGGCGATGTGGAGAGGAGGGGGTTGCAGGCGATGTGGAGAGGAGGGGGTTGCAGGCGATGTGGAGAGGAGGGGGTTGCAGGCGATGTGGAGAGGAGGGAGGTATACATTTACTGATCCTATGCTCAGCTGGAATGGTCCACCTTTGGGACAGGTTCACTTTTATTGGTTTCCTTTGTGTTTGCTGTTCCTCTAAAATACTTTTCATGTGCGATTCTTTCAGAGGATGTCCACGTTTGTAATGCAGAGCATGGCGTTCATTCAGCACACCTCTCCGCTTCCTGGAGCCCAGCTGTACGTCAATGGAGACCTAAGACTACAGCAGAGGCAGCCGCTGAGACACCAGGGCCTGGACACCACCTACAATGTAAGCACAAACCTGTTTCAGAACAGTACAAAGAGGAAATGCAAGTGTCGCAATGAAAGAGACCAGCCGCACTCCGATGACATCAGCATAGTTGAAACTTTATTGTTCCAGACAATTACCTTAGAAGGTCCACCCAGACCATCCTCACACATGCGTTTTACCTTTTGTGGCTGCATTTATTTTATTTATTACAGGTATTTATATAGCGCCGACAGTTTACGCAGCGCTTTACATAGCGCACATTCACATCAGTCCCTGCCCTCAAGGAGCTTACAATCTAAGGTCCCTATCTCGCATACACACAGGGCTAATTTAGACAGGAGACAATTAACCTTCCAGCATGTCTTTGGAGTGTGGGAGGAAACCCATGGAAGCACAGGGAGAACATGCAGACTCCTTGTACATAGTGTCCTGCCTGGAATTTGAACTTGCAACCCTGAGTGCTGCAAGACAGAAGTGTTAACCACTAAGACACTGCGCTGACATACTGTAGTTGTAGACTATAATTAAAAGATAACTTTGTATCCCATAGTTCTCTTAAGGGTCACGGGAGGACAAATTCTAACCTGCTCCCGTGACCCAAAGCTCAGTATATAGCGGGCTACAGCTCACTATATACTGAGAGCGCCGCAGCCGGGACGGATCCCAATAATGCTGTCGAGATCCACCCAGCTGCGTGAGTGACAGCTGGCTCTGCCTATCTAGAGGCAGAGCCAGCTGTCCCCGCCCCCTCCCCCGTCCGTTCCTCCGGTCAGTGCCGGAGAATTGGAGAGAGGAGGGGGCAATCCCTGTGGGCAGGCCCGGATTTCCCACAAGGCCACCGAGGACCGGCTTAGTGAAGATCACTCACCTCATAGTTCTCCATTTAAGCCCTTCCAGTATTGTGGATAGAGTATAGGGGGTTAGAGGTTAAAGCTGCTGTGTCTTTTGCCATTTGTGTCCCCTTAGGCAGCTTTTCTTTAGCTTTCTGTCCTGTAGACCCAACAGGAAGTGAGAAGATATCTTTCCAAT